AGACTGAGCCCTGGAAATCCATAAAATGGCTGGAGATGGGTGTTTACCACCACTGCCCAGTATATAGTACTGTGTAGCAAGTTTGTATGATGAAAGTTCTTGTTGTACACCTGCCAGGGTATTTGCCACTCTTTGTACAGAGCAGTTTCTTGGGGCAACAGAATGAGTCTTGGAAGCAGGGCTCTGCTGGGTCTCTAGTGAGCTAAGAGCCTCAGACTAAGATAGGATGGGTAGGGTTTTGCTTCTTGATATACTTCTTTGAACTAGTTTATTATTCCACAGGTCCCTTCATCTTCCCCTAGCCCTTAACTTAAATTCCCCCAGATAAATAGGTTCATGAAGAGTGTTATATAGTCCTGAATCATGTTGAGACTTAAGAGATGGCAAATGAATCCCACCCCTCTTTCCCTTGGGTATCACTGATCCACTTCACAGTGTGTTCTGCTAAACCATAGTATATTCTTAATTCACTCAATATACCCCAGCAACAATGTAAGTAAGTCTTTGCCATCCTTGGCTGAGATCTGCTCTCCTGTGGAGAAGTGTTTTCCCAAGATCTTTTCCTTCCCTTCTTTGAAGTCCCTGTGTTTGGTGTGTTCCATGCCTCTGCTGGCCCCAATAAGGCCTCCCTTCCCCGGCCCCTGTGCCAGGCTGAGGTGTGGAACTGCCAACTCCACAGAGGGTGTGCTAGATTACAGAGGTGCCGAGAGGAGTCAGAGCTGCCTTCCCCCTTGGAGAAAGTGGAAAGGCCTACAATGGCCTACATAATTGCCTGCCTCACTTCAGCTACCTCTTAAAGCCCATGGGGGGTTAGGTCTGTTGGATCCCAGTGTGATGGGATGGGAGGCTACAGTGTGTAGGTGGCCCCAGCTGGACTCCTCCAGGTCAGGACCAGGTGGAACCTTGGCTCTCAGCTCCACACATTTCTAGGCACCCAGATCAATCTGTAGATGGGGATTTCTTTTTCTTCCTCTCCATTGACCAAATCTTACCAATCACTACAGCTGCTCTGCTCACTCTGCTTTCCAAAGTCAGCCTGGGTGCCACTCTAACTGGCCAGGAGTCTGGGCCAGATGTGGGGGAGGTGGCCTGTCCATGAGTGAGGGCCAGTGCCTTCCTCACCCAGGTGAGTCCCATGCACATAACCTCAGTTTTAGGACCAAGAGCTGTGTTGGTTTCTTAGATTGTTAGTTTTCCCTCCAGGGGACCACAGTAGGTGAGGCTTAGAGCCTAGCTGTTGGCTGTGCGAACATGTGTAACTCATGTTCAGGACCTTGTCCAGCTGAGAGCTTCATGCACACCAGATTTTGAGAGGTGTCAGCAGCACTTTTTGTTTGTTTGTTGTTTGTTTTCCATGAGATTTTTGGACCATGGGCTGAGCTCAGGCACTTTGTGTACGAATGTTATTTCTGTAAAGACGGTTATTTAAGCCTCCTCCATTCCCACCATGTTGGCCCTGCCAAGGACTGACTGAGAGGCCAGTGGAGCTGCCCTGTGCGGGGAGGCTGAAGCCTGCTGAACTGCTGCTCCAGCCCTCACCTTGCACGGCACAGGGTTGATCACTTGGGACAGCCAGGCATTTGCCCGCTCCTCTCACTCTGCCTAGGGAGGGAGCTGCCTGTGTTCCTATAACTGCTTTCCTTATGGTCCATCCTGGCCACCCAGACTTGTCTGAAGTTGTGCTGACAGCTTTTTGGGGAGGGGGGGAGTTAATCTCCTTTTGGTATTCACAACAGCCAGGGACTTGATATTGATGTATTTTAAACCACATTAAATAAAGAGTCTGTTGCCTTACTTATTCCTCTCTTGCCTTGTGGTCATTTGATGTTTTTGGATACATCTGGTCCCTGCCATCATCACTGATGTCTGGATCTACTGCAAAGTGGCTATGGCTATGCCTAGCATCCTTTACCTTCCAGTGTTTCCTCTTGCCTTTTGGCAGTCACCACAGATTCAGGACACTGACATTTACTTAAGCTGCCTTTGCCCTTGGCAAAGTTAGCATGTGAGATGATTTTTTTTTTTTCCACTCAAAAAATCTCCCTGAGCCAGGCACAGTGGTGCATACCTGTTAATCCCAGCAGCTTTGGGAGCCTGAGGCAGGAGGATCACAAATTGAGACCAGCCTCAGCAACTTAGTGAGACCCAGTAGTCTTTAAAAAAAAAAAAAAAAGGCTGGGGATGTTGCTCAGTGGTTAAACACCCCTGGGTTTAAAAAAAAAAAAAGATTGTCCCTGGCGTCTGGGGGCTCACAGACTAAAGAAGGGAAAAGGTCCTTTTAGGTATGGAAAGGCCAATGGTACTACATGGGAGCAGAGAGGAGGTCCTTGCCCTCTTTGGCAAGGGAGAGGGGTGGATATCTAGAAGGGCCTTCTGACCTGAATGGCAGGCAAATGATTGACAACTTCATGTGGTAATTAGGCAATTAACCTGGAAGTCCAGGTGAACTTATTAGAGGGTAAGGGAAATGAGGCTAGGGGCTCAAGCTTGTGCACCAGGCTAAGGAATTTAGGTCAAATCTAAAGGGCAGGGAAGAACCACTGAATGTTCAAGTGGAAACCAGCACATACATACTTGTAATCCCGATGATTCCAGAGGCTGAGGCAGGAGGATTGCAAATTCAAGGCCAGCCTGGGCAATTTAGCAAGACTCAGCCTGAAAAAATAAAAAGGCTTAGTGATAAAGTACCCCTGAATTTAGTCCCCAGTAATTTGTAGGGTCCATGAGTGAAGCAAAAGTCAAGGCAGCATCCCTAGCAGTGGCCTACCCAAGAGGATGTAAACCACCAGCTTCCTTTTGATTTTTAAGCATTCCTTGACAAGGCCATATTTTCCATTATTGTTTTCCTTGTACTGGGGATTGAACCCTGGTGCACATTACCACTGAATTATGTCCCCAGCCCCCCCCCCCTTTTTTTTAAGTTGTTGATAGACCTTTATTTTGTTTATTTATATGTGGTGATGAGAATCAAACCCAGTGCCTCACACATGCTAGGCAAACGCTACATCCTCAGCCCCCCAGCTCTTTTTTAAATTTTCAGACTGAGTCTAAGTTGTCCAGGCTAGCCTCAGACTTTTGGTCCTTTTGTCTCAGCCTCCTGAGTTATAGATTATAGGCATATGCTACCATGCCCCAGATCATTCAGCTGATTTCTTAACCCCTGTTTATTCACTGGGAATGAAGCTTGAGACATCCTACTGGTGGCCTCATCCAAAACCCTATTACTTCAGGGACCTGGGTTAGTTATGTACAAAAAGTGGTACATGGTACGTGATGTATGCCCAACAAATGGCAGAAGCAACTCAAGGGCCCTTTGCTTTGCACTTATACAAGTAGACCACCCACTGGCTGTGACAGTCCAAGCTAGAGGAACAGAGCCTCTTTCCCTTCTAGCCAAGGTCTTTTTTTTTTTTTTAAGAAAGAGAGAGAGAATTTTAATATTTATTTTTTTTAGTTTTCGGCGGACACAACATCTTTGTTTGTATGTGGTGCTGAGGATCGAACCCGGGCCGCACGCATGCCAGGCAAGCGCGCTACCGCTTGAGCCACATCCCCAGCCCAGCCAAGGTCTTGATAAATGTTCTGTGCTGGCCACATTGGTTCCAAAGATCTCTGGAAGGGATGAGGGAATGCTGCTGCAAAGCATCTCTGCTATAATTGAGGCTTCTGAGGGTGGGAACTGCAGGGGAGCTCCTACCCTCTACACTTTCCTGGAGTAGCCCTAGCACCACTCTTGGCAGCTCTGGTAAGGGAGGAAAAGGACTTCATGTTGTCCTCTCTCCCTCTGACTCCCAATTATTGAAAAATCCCTGAAGTAATGACTCCCTTTCTAGAGTAGTCTTCAGAGTGCATACATCTGGGAATGAGCCTTCCACAGGTGCCTGCAGAAGCAGGGCCTCTCTCTTTAACTCAGCCAGATGCCTGGCCCAGGGCAGCTGCTCTTGCCCAGTGTGAGGGGGAAATGGACATGGTGGCTGTGTGCACTGCCTTGGGCCAGTTGATTTGAGCCTGCTGGGCAGCCTAACAAGAATGAGCCTCTCCCATGTGGCATCAGATGCTGCCCTGGGGACCTGAGCCAGGATCCTCTGCCAGGACTTTAAATAGTTGCCCCATTGATGCAGGCTCCTCCAGGTGCTCAGGTTTCCCTTCTGAGCATTGAAGTCAGATGCCAGGGAATGGAGTGGGCTTCTCTCGGACCTGGGGCTCCCCACACATATCTCCTAAGGCTGAGGGATGAGGAGGGGACCTGGCACTTGTCGGTGCCAGAATATAGCCCCACTGCTCACCACCCAGCAGGATCTGGGTGTGGTGGGGAGAGTGCTATTGCCCTGGAAATGACTAGTGTTTACTTTCCCTACAGTGTGGACAGTGGCAATGATAGCGCAGGGTTGTTAGGAGTATTGAATAGACAGAAAATGCTTCAAGATTCTTGGATACTAACACGTTCTCCCTCTTCCAAGCCCTCCCTGCCTCCTCTTTACTTTCCGTCCCCCTTCCCCCTCTCCTGACAAAGCCACCACCATTTTGTAAGAGACTGTACCTTCCCTCCAAAACTGACAGAAAAGTATTTATTAAACCGTTATCACACAATCAACAGGGTCGCCTTAATTCGGGCAGGAGGTCAGGTGAGTGAGAGAATTGAGCTCAGTCAATTTGGGGACGCTCCTCCCAACTTGCTCCAACCCAAGCCCGAGAAGGTCACTTTCTCTTTAAATGCAAATCACTCCCGCCAGCTTAGCTCCCACCCGCTGGCGTTCCCGGGAGGAGCGTGCGGAGGGCGCCGGGCACCGGCCCTCCGGCAACGCTTGGGACCCCAAGCCTCCAGGTCGGTCGCCTTCGAGGAGGTGCGGGCGTGCAGGGCGGGCGCCGCGGGCTGCAGCTGCGTTTGGGGCTGGCTTCGGAGGCCGAGCGTGGGAAACGGAGCCGGGGTTGCCCCGGCCGCTCCCGGGTACGGGGGCTCCAGCTTCCGACCTCTCCTGTCCCTCACGGGGTCACCCCGCCGCAGCAAGAGGCGGACCCTGCGCTGGTCTTCCCTCCACCACGCCCAGACCCATTCGGCGCCCCGCCAGCCTCAGTGCTGTGACCTCGCCTCACCGCCCCAGAGAGAGGAGTCAGGCGGGTGGCAGCAGCGTGGAGGGAGCCGCCGCCAGAGGACCCCTAGAGCGGAGGCTCAGGTGGTGGGCCGGACTCCGCGGCTGAGCGGTGTCGGCCACTCGCGCGGCCATTGTTGGAGGCCCAGGCTGCCCGCTGCCTGACCACCCACCACAGGGACTTGGAGAAGGAGGAGCAGCTGGAAGCGGTCCCTGGGAACTTCTGGAGTCCCTGGCACTTGCGGTTGGGCGTGGGGTGGAAGAGGAGGGATGCCAGTATAAAGCGGGAGCACAGCGAGCCCCGCCCCGTGGGCCCGGACTTCTGCCCATACCCATCCAGGGTCACTGCTGCTTGACACTAACTAGGGCCTTCCCAGGTGTCCCCGCCCCCACCTTGGTCACCTCTCAGGCCTACCGGGTTAGTCAGCGCCTGATAAACAGGGGCCCAGCTAGGACACTCCTAGTCTTTTGCTGTACTCCTGCCATCTCACGTCCACCCTGTCTTTCCTCTCCAGCCCCACCCTTTTAGCCAGAGGGACAGGAAACTCCAACAGCACAGGATAGCTTCCCGGTTTAGCCCCTTCAGACAGGGCCCAGGCAGAAAGGGTCTTATGGGCCTTGGAAGGTCCTTAAAATGCACATCCAGGATCCCAGCAACAGGCAGTGGCACCTGACCCTGCACAGACAAGGGAACAAAGACTCTGACATTTGTGAGAAAACAAGTTGGAAGGTCCCAGGGCCCTTCCTTTGCACCTCTCAGGGGTTGCTGGGTGAAGGGATGACTTTGACCCTCAGAATCTCAATGAGGTTGCTTCCTTCCCAGGCCTGAGGCTTACCAGCACCCAATGGATGACAAAAAGAAGAAAAGGAGTCCCAAGCCCTGCCTGACCCAGGCAGCCCAGGCCCCAGGCACACTACGCAGGGTCCCTGTGCCAACTAGCCACAGTGGCTCTTTGGCCCTAGGACTCCCTCATCTACCATCCCCCAAGCAGCGGGCCAAGTTCAAGAGGTGGGTACAGAAGGGATGCAGGGCAAGGAAGAAGGACTCTCAACTCTGGTTTGAGCCCTGTGGGGGAGGAAGGCAAAGGGGGCCATCAACCTTTAGCCACTAAGCAATAATGGGTGCCTTCCTTGGGGCTGGCTCCCGCTGACCCCTGATTACTCAGAGATGACTTAGATCCAGTACCTATCCTCAAGTGCATATGGCAAAAAGGCCAGATGGATAACTGAGATCACATATTATGAGGCTGTACTTCTTGGGAGGGAGGGAGCAACCTGCCAGAGAGTCAGAGGAAGTTGCTGGATACACTGAAGAGGGAAGAATATTCTAGCTGAAAGCTTGCTTGGCCTAAAAATGAGAGAAAGATATTGCCACAGACTGTGAATTTAGCTCAGTAGTAGAGTGCTTGCCTAAGCATATGCAAGAGCCTGGGTTCCATTCCCAGTGTTTGTGAGTGGGGGGAGATTGCCTAGAAGGTTCCAAGAACCACAGGTTCTTTGGGGGCCATGGAGTGTCAGGGAACAAGAAATGGTGAGGGGATACCAGGGTGCCCAATTTGAATTCTCTGCTGAATTTTTAAAAATGATTGGGAATTTGTTTCCTACCTTATAAAGTGTCCGTGTTTGTTCGCACCAAATACAATGTGTTCTTTCTCCAAATGTTCAAATCAAAATCACTGTGTTCCCCTGTGGCTTTGCATACCTCCTGCTTGAGAGGCATGTTTGGGAACAGCTACAGTGGGCTATAGCTGAAGCTCAGGACTGGACTGAGAATAATAGGAAATGCAGCCTTGAGAGGAAGGAAGGCCAGGTTGGCAAGGACATTCAGTATTATCCCAAGGAAACAAAAAATTCAAAACAGTTTGTAGCCAGGAATGGTGGTGCGCATCTGTAATCCCAGTGGCTCCGGAGGTTGAAGCAGGAGGATCGAAAATTCAAAGCCAGCCTCAGCAACTTAATGAGATCCTAAGACTCGTTGTCCTAAGACTTAGAGAGATCCTGTCTCAAAATAAAAAATAAAAAGGGGCTGGGGATGTGGCTCAGTGGTTAAGCACCTATGAGTTTAATCCCTTGTACTAAAAAAAAAAAAATTAAAAAAAAAAACAGTTTATAGAAGAGGGCAGAAGAAGTGGGGGTGGGGGGTAAGACAGTCTGGTGGCGATAAAGGAAAAGTTACACCCCAAATTACTGAAAGCCAAAGGGAACAAGTAACACGTTCAGAATCACAGGAGACAGGAGGGTAACTGAAGCTCTCCGACAGAAATCCAGGAGTCCCTTGCAGGCATGCCTCTGGCTATGTCATTGGTAGAAAGACTTCTTTTTTGACCTCTTACCTTCTCCCTCCTCACTTATTCCCTTCCTTCTATCCATCCCAGTGTCCAAGCAGGGCCAGAACAAAAAACTTCTATTTGTGTTGATGAATGAATGGGCAGATGGTTTAGATAGATGGCACAGAAGATCCAGGAGCGCCTGGCTGTCCCCCATTCATGGTAATGTACACTCCATACAGAGTAGGCAAAGAGAAATGCCGCCCAGTACTGGCTGGAGGTGGGGGCGGCTCTGCAGGCACGCCCTTGCAGCACTCCTTCCTGACCGAGGTGACTGATGTCTATGAGATGGAGGGGGGTCTGCTGAATCTGCTCAATGATTTCCACTCCGGCAGGCTGCAAGCCTTCGGTGAGTCCTGGAGGCTGTGCAGAGAGGGGCTGTGGGTGGGGAGGGTGGTCCTGGTCTCTGTGGTGGGGCTGGAACAAGGTCCCAGGCTTACTGTCAGGGTTCCTGAGAATGAGGATTGCTCCCATTCCAGGGAAGGAATGCTCCTTCGAGCAATTGGAACATGTTCGAGAGATGCAGGAGAAGCTGGCCCGGCTGCACTTCAGCCTGGATGTGTGTGGGGAAGAGGAGGATGAGGAAGAGGAAGAGGACGGAGTCACGGAGGGGTTGCCTGAGGAGCAGAAGAAGACCATGGCGGACCGCAACCTGGACCAGCTGCTTAGCAATGTGAGTTGGGCACCTTGGATCCTGGGGACATCAAGGGTGGGGAAGATATCTGCTCCCAAGGTCCCTGGTGAAAAGATGGGGGTGCATGAATCCAACAGCAATAAGCCCCTCAGTTTCTATTAGATGAGGGTCCCCAGAGCATTCAGACTTTGTTCTAGTCCCATTCCTTATAGAAACCTTCTTTTCTCTATCGACAGCTGGAAGATCTTAGTAATTCTATGTATCCTTTCTAAGACTCCACAGTGTACATGTCTTGCAGATGAGGAAGGGATGAGGTGAGGTCAGGTTCCTCCTCCTCACCTCCCTCCCGGAGTGTGCACACATAACCAAATATCCCCACCCCTTTGCAGTCCTACTGAATCAGAATTAGCCACAAACAGCCCCTACCTGGGGGCAATGTAAAAAGAATTTCCCAACCCAAATATCAGGAGAAAGGTGAATGCAGGGATTATTTTTTTACCAATCAAAATCTTTGCAAGTACTTCAGCTGACACCAATGATGGCAAAGTGTGTCTGATGTCCTCCTGCCCTTTCGATATTGAACAATGTATTAATTTAGACTAATCCTCATTTAGCTCTGCAGAGTGTGCATGCGTCCACATGAAGGCAGACACACACACACACACACACACCCCACAGGTCCTCCGGTTCTTCTGACCTGCATGATCTGGAAGAAAAGAAAAAGGGATAAGTGACCTAGCAAGAAGGGTAGGCAGGATGGGCTGCAAGGATATCTCAGGATAGATCACATGTTTGGCATGCATGAGCTCCTGGGTTCAGTCCCCAACACCATTCAGAAAAAGAAGGGCAGGTGGGGACTGAAACCTCAGACCATGGACAGCTCTTTGCACAGATGGGGAAAATAGACCCGTAGGGGATGTTTAGACTGATGAGAGGAACGACTGAAGTCGAAAGCATCACAATCCTTGACTGGCACAGACAGAAACTGCACCTGGCAGAGAATGCTGAGCCTGAGGAGCAGTCAGCTGCATAGGTGTAGTACCCAGGCCCACACTGCCTCTTTCATTCTCTTCAAACTGTGACTTCCCTTCGTGGTGGTGCACGCCTATAATTCCAGCTACATGAGAGACTGAGGCAGGAGGATCTCAAGTTCAAGACCAGCCTGTTACATTTAGACCCTGGCTCAAAATTAAATTTTTAATAAAGGAATGGGGGTGTAGGTCAGTGGCAGAGCGCTCGCCTAGCATGTGCAAGGCCCTAGGTTTCAGCCCCAGGACCGGGAAAAAAAAAATGACTTTACGCAGCTCCCCAGGTGCTATGAAGTTGGGGACATTGGATGGAATTAAACCAAAAATAAAAAGTAAAAAAGTGGCTCCGTGTCTTCCTTCCCCTCCTTGCACCTTTCTTCTCAGAATAAAACAATCCTGCGCAGCACAGAGGGCTTGGAGTCCCCGCTCCGGCGGGAATTGGGATGAAGCTAGTGGCTCCAAGAGAATGAAAGGCCAGCCAGAGCGCTTGGCAGCCAGACGAATCTAAAGCAGGCTAGGTGAAGGTTGCCTTGGAGGCAGCGGGGCGGGGCCTCCATGCCTTAAACTGCGCATGCGCTCGGCGGGGACGTTAGCGTCCTGATGGAGACTGAATTGTTACTTCGGAAAGTGTCGGCCTTGCAGGTTCGGGGCAGAGGGGTGGTCGGGGTTGCACCTAGGGTCTCCTACTTTCAGTAGGGTGAGGCTGTCACGGTCAGTCCCTACCCAACCTCTGGAGATGCCAGCCCACCTCTGCAATTCACGAAGAATGCGGAGATCCATGGACTTCCCTAAGCCCGCACCCCTGACCCGCACGAGCGTGTGGGTCAGGGGAAGATCCGGAAGCGTCTAAAAGCGAGGAGGAGAGTACAGCCCAGCGCCCACTGTCACCTGTCCTTTCCCCGTCGCCATGTCCATTTTTGCAGTCCCCGGGATAACCTCTCCAGAGAATACCCCAAGATATATTCCCTCTTCTAATGTACCAAGGACTTTTAAGCAAAATATATTAGCAAAATTAAAAAATAAACTTCCAAGGGCGTTCTAACTCTCGTTCTCCACACCAGGCCTGTGTCAGGGGCTTCTTGGTTCGACGCCAGTTCCAGAGCCTGCGAGCTGAGTATGAGGCAATTGTACAAGAAATAGAAGGCGACTTGGGCACGCTTCAGTGGACTGCCGGCAGAATTCCCAGGCCTCTGTTTCTCCCAGAGGTAGTACACACCCCAGGGGGAGAAGGGAGAGTAAGGAAGACCTGGCAGGGAATTCAAAGGAGTGATAGAACCTACTCTTCCAGGTGACAGGCCTCTACCTTTGGAAGATACAGCAGACTGTTCCTCACACCCCAGTCCTTAATTAAGATCATGGTGCCAGGGGTTTAGCCCTGGGACTATCATACCTTTCTGGTTTCGCAGAAGGCAAAATCTCAACTCTCCTGGAAAGCAGGAAAGAGGATACCAAGTCCAGAGAAGAAACTATGCAGCCACTTTCCATATAAAGAGTCTGTGAAAGAGGCCCTCTGGGAGGAGATGGTGCTGAAGAAGTCAGGAGAGAGTTCAATAAACCCAGGAAGACTTCCCTGCAGAGATGACAACCTCTGGCTTCAGGTTGAGCAGAGCAGGAAATCCAGCCAAGAGGAAACAAATACATCAAGGATGAAGAACTCAGGTACCTCTCTGCCTAGATCAGGAAAAGTCCCTGATCTCTCAGGGCCTTAGCCTCCCAATCTAAAAAGTAAAAGGGATGTGCTAGATTAGCTGCAACCCTTTTCTCCCTCCCTCCCCTGCCTAGTTGAAGGAAACACATGAGCAGTGAGGGGTTGCCAAGGTCTGGGGCTAAACCAGCTTCCAGTGTCTATAGCTCAATGCATTCTCCTTCCTGTCTTGCCTCCTTCAAAGAAGCCACAGGTCCAGGACCATCCCATAGCCAGCATGAGATCCAAGAGCTCCAGTATCACCGCAGCCATTTGGCCATGGAACTGCTGTGGATACAACAGGCCATCAACAGTCGCAAGGAGGTAGGCACTAACTTTTGGAACAGACGAAGGGTTAGGAGTTAGGGCCTGTGTAAGCAGGCCAACATGTTACAGTATTGTTCTCTCCCAACAGTACCTAATTCTCAAACAAACACTGAGATCCCCAGAAGCAGGCCAGACCACAGATGAGCCCAGCATGTGCACAGACCATGGGGGACTGGCCTGTGAGAAAGCCTGGTCACAACCAAACCCACTGCTGAAGGACCAGTTCTGCAGAGAGAGGACTGCTGGAGAGCTGGACCATGCAGATGATTCCTGCCAAAAAGGCAAATCACAACTCCTTAAGTACCCAGAAAGTCTGGCCACTGTAGACAAAATCACTGCTGGGGCTAAGGGCAGGGAATTGTGCTATAGGAGGGTTGGACCACAGCTGCCTACGCCATCAGACAGCCAGGCTGGAAGGGACAGGTTCACCAAAGGACAAAACCATGAAGGACAGAGCTTTAAAGGGGCCTGCCTACAGCAGACAAAATTCCTAGAGGACCAGATCCTGAGGGGCCTCAAACCTAGGAGCCCCAGTTCTGGGAAGGCCAGAAGACAGCTGCCCGCATTGTGAGGACCCAGATATTGAGAACAAGTCTCCCAGAGACCAAACCACAAAAAAAACCTGACTACCAAACAGCAGGCCACAAGCTATGACCTCTCCAAGGACCACACACATCATTTGTTATGGGACCATGGCAGGACCAAAGCATGGTGCCCTATATTTCAGGAGGATTCAAATGTCAAAGGGCCAGGGCCCCATGGCAGAAGTTCCATAGTTGGAACCTCCAATAAGCCTAGTCACGAAGGCTGGAAAAGCTAGAGGACTGTACTGTGGAGCTCAAGGACACCTGAGACCCTATCTTCCACAAGACTAGACCAGAAAGGAGAGGACCAGTGGAGGGACAGGCTATGGAAGGCAGGACCACCGAGCTAGATCCTGAGGAGCTAGAAGAGGAACAGTTTCCAAAGAGGTTTGCTATGACAAGGCTGTGGTGAAGACAGGCCTTCATCTGCCTCCCCTGCCCTCGTCCCCAGCCATCAATGGCTAGTGGGGCCAACGGAGATTGGAGCAGAGACTAGAGGCATAGTGCAGGGCAAAGGACACCTTTTCATCCTGAGCTTTTGGCTCAATCCAAATTTCAGGTTAAGGATTAGTTATATGGGGAAAGATAAGTGGGAGGCCTGGAAGAGAATAAAAATTTTTCTTGGATTTTGAGCCTGGCTGCTTTCATCCCTCCTGTTCACTTCCTGTCATGGGGTGAGTGTCAATCCCAGAACCAGCTGGGAGCCTCAGCCCAGGGGCAGATCTGAGGGCAGATCTTCCTTGGGGAATAGTTCCCAACCTGATCCTCACTTGAGCTCAACTGTTAGGCTTCAGAGTGGAAAAGGCTCTGGAAAGTACTGGAACACTGTATTTAAGTAGGATCTCTGCTGTCCTCTCTTACTGAGCTGAGCCCCAGGGTCTTTTTTCACACATTGATCATACCTGTCCTATTCTTGTGAGGGCCTATCAGTGAGATTGGCTAAGATTGTGAATGCAGAAAAATGCCCCTACCAGAGGCTCTCCCTGAAAGGGCAGGACTCCACCTCTCATTGGCGTGGCTCTTAGTTGCCTGGCAACAGTTCTGTGTCTCTTGACGGAGGACACACTATGGCAGGTGGAAGTTCAGGAGCCAAGAGGATAGTGGTATACCGAAATGGGGATCCCCACTCCCCAGGCCGCCAGCTGGTGGTGACCCAACGCCGTTTCCCCACCATGGAGGCCTTCTTTTATGAGGTGACATCAGCCGTGCAGGCCCCACTAGCTGTGCGTGCCCTCTATACACCTTTTCATGGCCACCCTGTCACCGACCTGGCAGAACTGCAAAATGGAGGGCAGTATGTGGCTGCTGGCTTTGAAAGATTTCGCAAACTCCAGTAAGTAGGCTGAGCCTGGTCAAAGAGCCTAGGAGAGAGGCAGTAGCAGGAACAATAGTGAGTCTGGTATTTACTATGTAGTTACCAGCTTTATGTATTTTGTTACTTAAACAGGGAGGGGAGAAATAGTGAACATCTGCCTAAGTACGTGAGCAACAAGTGGTTGAGCTATAATTTAGATTGGATTTTGTCTGGTACTAGGGCCCATGCCCACCACAATCAGGACCATGGGAAGGAGACTATTCTGCAATTTGAACTTTTTTGAAAAGATCTTGATTAGATCCCCTCCCACCACCATCACCATTACTCTAAATCTGATGACACTTCCTCTCTCCCTGCTATGTATCCCAACCTTTCAGGTAGGCTAGGATCATCCCTCTCTGCAGAGTGGGCCACCTTCCAAGGTGGGAAAAGAATTTTAAGTTATCTGACTTTCCAGTCCAGATCTGGCTTCCACATCCTACTCTGAGCTCTTAGCTGAGGTTGCTTACTACAATGGAGAGAACAAGGGTTTGGGAGCTAGACAGAGTCTTAGTCACTTCCTGTGTAACCTTGGGTAAGTCACTTAGCTTCTCTTGAATTCATACAAAATGTAGATTAAGCCATCTACTTCATGAATGTAAAAATTCCTGATATAGTAGGATATTTAATGTCCTCTTTTCTCTCAATCTTTAACGCTATTGCCAATAATCCTAGTCTGAATTTCCAGCCTGACTTGGCATTTAAAGGATTCTAAGGTAGGTTCAAGTACCAGCATCTGTTTCTGACCTGAGTACGCTGAGAAACTGCCCTTGTGGGAAGAGGTACCTGGTGAGCTGTGCCCCAGCCCATGCTCTGGCAGTTACTGGGTTGTTGAAGCACCAGACTCCCCAAGATGACCTTCATCCAATGTCTTTTCAGCTATTTACCCCCTGGAGGGAAGGATCCAGGTGGGAAGAGCAGCAGACTACAAGTGAGTACTGGGGGAGGCTGTCCCCCAGCCCCTCTGCCCTCCCAGCCCTCCTAGGTAGGATTTGGGATTGCTCCAAATTGCTCTGGGAAGTCAGAGACCCTGGAAACAGCAAGAGCTGCAGGTTCCTTGGGGGACACTCTCCACTCCCACTCTGGAGCTTGCTGCTCTCCTTGGGGTATGGAATTTCAAGACACTATCCCCTGGTCCTGTGTGGTTCCCAAAGGAAAGAGGAAACTGTGAAATACACATGGGGGTAGGGGATGGTTAGAGTGACTTAGGGGATCTAAAAGCACCCTTTAGTGAAAGGGCCCCCTCCTTGCCTCCTTCCCTGTAGGAGTCTGTTTCCTTCCTGCTCACTACACTGTTCTTGGGCTGACTCATCCCTAACCAAATACCTCTCTCCTGATTTGGGGATCTGACTTGGGTTTCAGGATCCTCTCATGACTGGCCACCCGTGTGACTGGGCCCTTGGACAGTGGCTGCCTGCAGGCATTCCCTTCTATATCCAGTGAGTCCAGCATCAGAGAGCAGGGGTATAGAGAAAATGGGTATGTCTGTTCCAGGAGCTTTTGATTACCAGTGGAAGAATAAAAGGTCCAACATGCCAGGTGTGGTAATCTCAGTAGCTTGGGAAGCCATGGCAGGAGATCATGAGTTTAAAGCCAGGCCCTAAGCAACTCATCTGTCTCTAAATAAAATACAAAAAAGGGCTGGGGATGCTGCCCCATGGTTAAGCACCCCGGGTCAATCCTGGATACAAAAAAAAAAAAAAAATGTCCAACATGTTTGATGGGTGGAATTGGATCAGTACAGTGGTTCTCAAACCATCTTCTGGCATCTGTGCCATCCTTCTCACATGAAGGGAGTCCCAGGTCCCTCCCTCTCACCAGGTGGTTCTTTGTCTCAGTGTGTTTAGGAATGGGGATCTGCTAAGTCCTCCATTCAATCTGAAGGTGTCCCAGGCTGCCATTCAGGACTGGGAAACTATGTTGAAGCTCCTGACTGACAAGGCCAAGTTACAGAATGGGGCTGTGCATAAGTGAGTATGGCGCCTGGGGAAACCCAAAAGTCTCATGAGAGTCTCCTTACTGAGTTCAGCTGTTCCTGAGGATGAAACGGCAAAAGGAGAATGTTCCCTCCAGCAGGACTTCCTCCTGTGCCATAAGAAGTGGTCTCTCTGGCCCAGCCCTCAGAACCAAGGCAGAGCCTAGGTCTGAGGGCCAGAGGCCAGAGGGTACCTGCCCCCTCACTGCCTGCTGACTGTGAAGAGGCAGTCTGTCTGCAGGTCCTTATCCTGCTCACCTCTCCCCCAGACTCTGCACCCTGGAGGGGTTCACACTGTCATCGGTGGAGGCTCTGGTGAATGGCCATTACTATGTGGCTGTTGGAAAGGATGAATTCAAGGCCCTTCCCTATCTGGAGCTGCTGGTGCCCAGTCCCTCCCTGCCCAGGGGCTGCTGGTATGTATGTGGTTGCAGCAGAGAAAGGTGCCCTCTGGTGAGCGTGCTGACTCCATGTCCTCTGCCCACACAAGCCTTTTCCTTCTTTCATTGTAGGTATCCTCCAGGCCTGAAGTATAGACCCCACAGGCAGAGGGTAGGTGATCCACAGGGCATGGGGGTGGGAATGAAGTGGAGAACTCTGATAAATTTGAACTCTGACCTTATGTCACTGCATCCTTTCAATAATCTCGTGAAACAGATTATCACCTTTTTCCAGAGGTGGAAACTGAAGTTCATAGGAGTAAAATGATTTGTTCAGGGTGACACAGTTATTAAGTGGCACAGGCCAGACCAGAACTGATCTTCAAGGTGAAGTTGTAGACCTAATGCCTTCTTTTTTTTTTTTAACCATACAAATTATTTTTTTTTAGTCATACATGACAGCGGAATGTATTTTGACTTATAATACATACATGGTATGTACATACATCAATCATATTGTCTATTCTATTCTGCTGCCCTTCCTATCCTCCCTACTCCTCCCCTCCTCTCCCATCCTTTCTCTCTAATGTGTCACAACATCATATATATATTCTGTATAACAATGAGGTTCTCCTTCCATCTTCCGTGCAACTCCCCTTCTCCCTCTTTTTCCCCTCCCACCTCTCTTCCCTATTTAGTGGTAGTCTTCTTCTCATGCTCTTCCTCTCTATCCCATTTTGAGTCACCCCCCTTATATCAGAGAAGACATTCGGCATTTGTTTTTTTAGGGATTGGCTAACTTCACTTAGCATAATCTGCTCTAATCCCATCCATTTGCCTGCAAATGCCATGATCTTGTTATTTTTTAGTGCTGAGTAATATTCCATTGTGTATAAATGCCACATTTTTTTAATCCATTCATCTATTGAAGGGCCTGATGCCTTCTTGATAGGTTGGATGCTGGGAGACAGAATTGGCATTCTTTGCATAGCAGTGCCCTGGGAACCTCAGCTCCCCATCCTATTACAGGTCCGAGTCCTCCGAAGATATGAGCCAGTGAGCATGAAGTCCAAGTATAGTTTGGTTTCACTGGGTATCTTCGAGTGCTAGGCACCAGCTGTTCTGTTCCTGGATAGGCAGTCTGGTGGGAAGAAGGGGCAGGAAGGGAGGATGCAGACTGTGAAGGTAGATGGCACTGCCTCTCCCAAGCTCCCACAGGCCTCATGACATGCTGAAGCCTAGACTGGGGAATAAGAAAGGTGAGACAAGCCAGAAACCAGGGTCTGAGCCCAGTGTTCTTTCTGTAGGACCAGGGCCTCAGGACACAGGTCACTCTTCCCTTTCCAAAGGAACCAGCACAAATTGAACCATCTGTTTTCTATGCCAGACCCCAGCAGAACATTCAGCCAAGAAGCAAGCTCCCCACTCTCTTGTTTCCATCAGGTGAGGGGCCTCTGTGGACCAAGCCTTTCTCAGCCAATCACCCCTCTTTTTTTCCCGTGCTGGGGACTGATGTTGTGGTTTTGATTTTGGTAATGGGGACTAAACCCAGGGGTGCTTAACTACTGAGCAATAACCGAGCTCTTTTATTATTTTTATTTTTTGAGACAGGCCCCTGGGCCTACAGTTGCTTAGGGCCTCTCTAAATTGCTGAGGCTGGCCTTGAACTTGCAATCTTCCTTCCTCAACCTCCTGAGTCGCTAGGATTACAGGTGTGTGCCAGCCACTGTGCCCAGCCAGTACTGGGGATTGAAACCCATTCAATGAGTCTTAAGCATTCTAGGCAGACACTTTACGCAGCCACCCTTTGACAGTGACACAGGATGGTACCTGCTATTGTTGGGGATATCTGTTGGGGCAGAATGCCCAGGTATAGAGCTGGCTCTGACCTCAGCATAATTGTCTTCTACTCTCCCATTTGCATGTCCAGTCTCTTGCTTTTTCTTAGGGACTTATCATATGAAAAGAAGCACATGGAAAGGGCAATGCTTATCTCAAAATGATTCAGGGGTGGGCTTTACAAGGGCTGGGGCTGGGATTATAAGCCTGCTTCTCAACTTCCCTGCCATCCTCTGAAGTAGTGGGGAATGTGGAGCAAGCAGGGGAGGGGAAAGAGTATAGAGGTCAAGGGAAAGAAGGCCAAGGACTCTGAAGTCTGGGCATCAGTCAATTTTACCTCCCTCATTAGGAGTTAAGGGAATATACAGGGCTCCTCACCCAAGGAGGGAGACAACAGGGGCCCAGGACGTAGCAGACGATGAAGACACCTGGACAGAGCGGCCCTTGGACCAGGTAAACTCCAGGATCAGAAAGCCATACTTGGAGATGGGCGTTTAGAGCTAGAAACTGGCAGTTCTGAGTCCCAGGAACAGGTCCTCCCTTTGTGACTGTAAGACCTTCTAATATCCTAAAGCTTGACTTTCTCCCTCATTAAACGAAGAAGCTGGGCATGGTGGCACATGCCTGTAATCCCAGCAGCTCAAGAGGCTAAGGCAGGAGGATCGGAAGTTCAAAGCCAGCCTTATCAACTTAGCAAGGCCCAAGCAACTCAGTGAGACCGTTTCCAAATAAAATTCAAAAAAGGGCTGGGAATGTGGCTCAATGGTTGAGTGTCCCTGGGTTCAATCCCCAGTACCAAAAATAAAAAATTGTTCTTTTTTTGTTTTTGCTACCCGGAATTGAACCCAGGGGTGCTTAACCACTGAGCCACATCCCCAACCCTTTTTAATTTCTGATTTGGAGACAGGTTCTTACTAAGCTTGAGGCTGCCTTTGAAGTGGGAATCCTCCTGCCTCAGCCTCCAGTCTGCAGGGATTACAGGCTTGTGCCACCATGCCTAGCTGGAGTTCTTTTTTTTTTTTTTTTTTTAACATTTATTTTTTAGTATTTGGCGGACACAACATCTTTGTTTGTATGTGGTGCTGAGAATCGAACCCGGGCCACACGCATGCCAGGCGAGCGCGCTACCGCTTGAGCCACATCCCCAGCCCGTGGAGTTCTTAATTTCTAGTCTTTTCTGGGGAGGGGGGTTTCCTGCAGGGGGCTAGAGGCTGGACACATTGCATGGCTCCATTCTGTACTTATCATCATTTCCTCCAGAGAGCAGCACAAACAGTGGAGGAGGCCCTGTCCTTGGAACACAAGTCTGGGGCTAGACTGCATCCTCAGCCTTAGCCATTGCACCATCTTGAGAGCCAAAGCTCTAAAGAGAAACAGGAAGACAGCAGTTGGGTAGACACCTTTTGTCTTCAGCCTGTTCCTGATAATCAACGTCTCCCCTGTGCTTTATAGGGATGTGGTTTCCTCAACCCCTTCCCATTCTTCTTCTAAGCTTATAGCCCAGTCTTCTTTCTCCTCAGCAGAGCAGCCCTAGCTGTGGAGGCTGTTTTCTTATGGGATTCTCTGTCCAGAGAAAGGAGTAGCTGATTGAGCTTGGCAAGCAACCACAAATGTGAGAGTAGATTTGTCACAATAAAAGAATATTTAACTAACCTGTTTAGTACAGATTTATTGAAGGCTGCTACTGGCCAGGTATTGTACTGGATACTACAGTTAGGTGATGCTGGGGCTCAGTTGTCTACCTGTCTTGAGAGGGGCTGGCAGGTAAGCATTTCTGCCCACCTCATAGGTGGGAAAGGCAAGGCTAACGGAGTTCATACGTCCTATATCTACATTCTGATGCACCCTCTTCTCCTCAGTTGCTCCCCCAAGTCACCAAGGCACTGAGCGCTGGAGGTATCCCAGTCACATTTTTGGCTTCAAGACTGCATCACGGCAGCTGGTCTTTTCCATGTAGCTGGGCCTCTGCAGTCCATGTAATCTGCCACCATGATGGTCCAGAGCAGGCCAGGGTAACAGTGGTTGGGTAATAATGACCTGAGATTTTAGCAGAAGAGCTGTTGATGCAGAGAGCTGCTGAGGGTGAGTATGAAGTGTCCCATGCAAAATCCCAACAGCTGAACACCACTTGAAGATTACAAAACCCTTTTACTGCTGTTCTCTTACTGTGATCCACGAGGTAGCTATTATCCCCATAAGAGATGAGGAAACTGAGGCTCAGAGAGGGCAAGTTCTTGGTCCATCTGCTCATTGCCTGCACCTTGGCCCAGGGGTTTCCTGGAGATAGCAGAGCTGGAAGCTGGGGTTGGTCCACTCAAAAGGTAGATGGTGGCCTCTGGGTCTTGTTCACTGAGCTTGTGATACAAAGTGCAATTCCTGTCATGGTGAGCACCATGCCAGCGACTGCTCCTAGGATAGTGGCAGAAATCAAGGGGCTCTGAGCCTAGCATGCTAGCAAGAAGGAGCTGGTACAGGGCTGGGGAAAGGGTTCATATGGGGCCCAGTCCCAGCTGCCACCCCCAGCCTCTTGTCTCCAGACTACTTAGGGTTAGGAAACAACTGATGGCCACAAGGAAGTAGGAGAGCTGCGAAGAAAAGGCATGATGGGGGAAAGCCCTCCTCTCTAACCCATGGGAGATGGACTGGGAAAGAACTGACCCAGGTACATCAAGGCCCAAGCAGCTGCTTCCTACATTCCCAATAGCATGACTTACCTTTTCCACCAATATCTTCTCCAAGGACCTTCCCAACAATCAGCGTGAAGACAATGGCCAGAGAGTTACAGATGGGCACAGCTAGGGTCAGATCTGGGTAGTCAAAATGAGAAGAAGTGCTGAGATGCAAAATGTCTTATCACATTAGGGACAAAAAAGTGGGGGGACGGGGGAGCAAGAAGCTTAGTGCAATTGAAGACCAAGGGTGTTGAGGGAGGCAGACCTTGGTTCTCAGTATAATCTTGGTTATATATTTAAACCCTCTGAGCCTATTTTCCACATGTAAAACAGTGATAGCAAGATACCACTGTTGGTATTTTTTTGCAGGGATATTGTAAGATAAACTATGATAATGCACATATAGTCCCTGGCTGAAGTGGATGCTTAATAAAAATAGTCACTACTATTTTGATTATTAGAATAGGTGGATATTAAAGGATGGATACAGAGTAGGTGACAAGATAATAAAATTCTAAAATTATAATTTGCTCAAAACTTGGTGAACTGCATGCCAGGTGGCATAAGGTTCAACACTGTTTTGCAGCAATGAATACATCAGGCCAGAGGCTTAAATAGTCTTATGAGCAGCTATTCCTAAATGTAAAATAGATCAAAGTGGAATGACAAGTTGAAACCGTGTGGCAGGAAAGTGGCTACCTTGTCCCTCATCTTCCCATGGCCCTTGAGGGGTTCCCTGGAACTAATTGGGGCCTAATCTTTCCTGGAGTCCCTGGAGGGTCTTGACTCCAGGGGAGGAAACCCACAGAAGTAAAATTCAAAAGCATAAATTTTAATATGTAGCTACAAATCCTTTTGCACTGTCATGCTGTGAGACTAAGAGGGGTGAAGTAAATTGTTCAAAGTTTTGTAATATTCTATATGATGACAATCATGTCTGCTTCACAGGGTGATGATGGGACTTAAATGAAATATGCAACACCAGTAAAGTATCTGATGCAGTAGAGGGCAGTCAACAAATGTTGGGAGAAAGGAAATTTGTATTTATTGTGCCAGGCACTCTGCTATGTTTCTCATATATCGAATTTAATCTTCACATTGCTAGGAATCCAGCTATAAAACACCAAGGTTCAAATAAGGGACTTGTTCTAGGTCAGGCAGGTAGCACACACTGGAAGCAAAAAGGACATAGTCAGCATTTGGCACAACAAAATGAATTTTCCATCTTCCTCTGCTATTGCACAAGACTGCCAGGCTCCAGATCCACCTCAGTGCCTGGCCATTTCTCAACCAGTCCACTGTGCCTCTGCCCTCAGGGGAGGCTACCAAGAAGGGAACAGTAACATGCTCTCCCTCGCTGAAGGGAAACAAGGTGTTTCAGGTTCCCTCCCCAAAACAACTTTCCCAGGTGGCCTCCACCACTAAGCAGGGCAGCCGTACACTAGAGACCCACCTGTTGATGCCAGGGTGAAGTAGTAGAGAAGGGAGCCACACTGGTTGAGGAGAAAGGGCACCAGGTACTGGAAATAGGAGAAAACTGACATCAGTGTAATTGCCTGAGTAGCACTGCCTTCTTTGAGCTTCTAGAAATATCCAAGGAACACTAAGCACTCTGAGAAGGACCCAGGGCAAAGACAGACATAAACTGAACTCCACATCTTTGCTCTTAAATGCCCTTTCCTTTAGCTTGACTACTTCCCATCCGGTATTTTTTTTTTTTTTTTTTTTTTTTTTTGGTACTAGGGATTGAACTCAGGGGCACTGGGTCACTGAGCCACATCCCCAGCCCTATTTTCTATTATATTTAGAGACAAGGTCTCACTGAGCCTCACTTTTGCTGAGGCTGGCTTTGAACTTGTGATCCTCCTGCCTCAGCCTCCTGAGCTGCTGGGATTACAGGCGTGAGCCACCATCACGGCTCCATTCTGTAAGGTCTTTAGTGCCAATATTACCCCCTTCAGAAAGCCTACCATAAGTCTCCCATCTGCAGTCTCCCTCCTCTGAACTTATGCAACACTTTTATCTGTATCCCTCTCCTGGCCCTTAACCCTGAGAATTGGTGGTGTCCCAGTAGCCTTGACTAGCAGACTTGGGGTCAGAAGTAGTTCGCCATATCCCTTTTTGTTTTCCACCCCAAGGGCCAATTTGAGCCCCAAGCTCTCCCTCTGGAAAGACTTGCAAGTTCTTCATATAATTGGAGAGAACACAATAATACAATACTAACAGCATCCATGGATGGAACACTTTTGATGTACTAGGTCCAATGCTAAGTGTGTCTTACTTCAATCCTCATAACTGCCCTATGACTATCATAATTTCCATTTTACAGATGACAAAACTGAGGCTCACAGAGGACAAGTGACTCCTCCAAGAGCTGCTTGGGAGTGATGGGGCTGGGATTCTCACCCAGACCTATTTGACTCCAGAGACCAAATATTTAGCGGCCACTCTTCCGTGAGAGGGGCTGTTCAGAGACGCACCTCAAAATTCAAGAAAAGGGTCTTCATCTCCTGCAGCAACTGCCGGACCCAGGTCCGCTCATGAACCTGCTGAAGGCCGGCGGAGGCCCGCTTCAGCAGCGGCTGCGTGCCACCCCACAAAGCGGCCACGAGCACCAGAGCCAGCACCTGCCCTAAATACAGATGGACGGAGAGTCACCCTGACCGCCAGCCCCACAGGCTGCCCGCTGGGCCTCGCCCTCCTCTAGGCTCCTAGCCCCAGATAGCCTTCCGCACCGCTCCTTGGCTCTCCGACGCCCCGGGCTGCGCTCGACGGGGAGGACAGGCCTTGGGAAGCGGGGGAGATGGACTCAGGAGCCCGAGGACTGGAGTCGTAGCAGGGTTCGGGGTGGAGGGGAGTAGGAAATAAACTGCGGGTGGGGATCAGAAAGTGCGTTGACGCGCGGAGCCCACTACCCACCCAGAGACGCCGCCATGGCAACGCCGCTCTCATCTACTTCCGGGAGCGAGGGGGTGGAGACGAGAGAACGGAACTGGTTCCAAGCCTCTTCCGGTCCTGCTCACGCCTCGCTCTCCTCGCGTCACCGCCGGGATGGTGAGTTCCGCAGAGTTGGGGGTGTTGTGGTGGGGGTCCCGGGCCCGGAAGAGGTCCGGTTCCGGGCGCTGACACTCTTGTCCTGTCCCTGCAGAAGCCGATCCTGCTGCAGGGCCATGAGCGGTCCATTACGCAGATTAAGTACAACCGCGAGGGAGACCTCCTCTTCACCGTGGCCAAGGACCCTGTGAGAGCCGGCGTCCGGGCGGGCGGGACAGGCGGAGGGGGCCCCCCCAAGGGCGAATTCCTTCTGCCCGGACCCTGGGTGGACGATCCAGTTTTACTGCCAGACGGGAACCTAAGAACGTCCCATTCTAAAAAGTAGGGAGATGCCATCCCGGGGTAGGTTGATGAGGGCATTCTATCTAGGAAGGTAGGAAGGAATTCGACTCTTGGTAGAGATGAATAACTGGGGAGAAGAAAAACAAGAGACCACTGTGGATGGGGAACAGGGACAAGGATCAACTTGATAGAACAAGTCACGTCCAGTAGGATAAAGAATCATGGAATGTATCTCAGTGGTAGAATTAGTGCTTAGCATAAGATGCTGGCTTCAATCCCCAGTATCACGAAAATTAACGAAGAAGAAGAAGAAATTTTAAAAAGACACGGGTCTTAATGAAGATGCCCCTAGTCTCAATCCAATCAGTCCCATCTGCTACTCAGTGTACAATCTCACAGTACTGCCATCTACATATACAGGCAGTTAACAGTGAGGGCATTGAAGTCAAACTGATTTAATTTGAATACTAATCCCTGCATCTACTAGCAGTGTTACTTTATGCATGTCAGTTAATCATTCTAAACAAGTTTTCCTTCTTATAAAGTATGGGGACCTTTAGGGCTGGGATCTAGCTCAACACAGCAAAGTCTCCCATATGGGAAGCCCTGGGTTCACACACCCCTCCTGTTCCAAAAAAGAAAAGAAAAAAATATATAAATATGGGGACTTATAGTACCTCCTTAACCAGATGAGATCGTTCTCATAAAGAGCTTGGCACAGTTCTTCGCGCATAGGAGTACCTAATTAATATTATCACTTACATATAAGTTCCATAGATATCATTTCATTGGAGTCTCCTCTTTAAAGAAGGCATTATTGTTCTGACTGTTTTAAAGATGGAGAAGCTAAAGTTAAGAGGGATGAAGCACCATATTTGAGATCATACCATGAGATAGTGACAGAGCAGGCACTGGAATCCAGACTTCCCTACTACAAATTCCTCCCACTTGGACAGATCACCAGAGCTACTATTTATTTGGACTGGAGTACAACTTAATCTTTTATTCTTCTAAGAGATTCTGAATCCAGGAGAGGACAGGCCCAGCAAATAAGGATGCTTTTCCAAATTTGACTTCCCTGCTATTTACATTCGGGTAGGGAGGAGAATCTAGGAGTTTTACCACTTTCTTGCCCAAGAAATCGGCAGGCTAGAGATTGAGGAGGGTTCCTGGGGCAAAATAGAAGGCCATTGCTATTCCTGGGGTGTGAACCATCCTGTCATTTGGCTCCTCCAGATTGTCAATGTATGGTACTCTGTGAACGGGGAGAGACTGGGCACCTACATGGGCCATACTGGTGCTGTGTGGTGCGTAGATGCTGACTGTATCCTTGTTTTACTCTGAGGCTGTGCTTCAGGCTCTGCCAGCAGAAGAGTTGCTGAGTTGAAGGTGGGAGTTTGGGGTGCTGGTGTGGGTCTGTAGAATAATACCTCCTGCTCCCAGTCTCTTCACTGGTTGGGGAAACATTTAGGACAAGTTCCACTTCTGGATGAGGAGGTTAGAGTGCCCTGAGTTAAGAGGAAGAAAGGCTCTTTGGGACTGAACTTGGAGATGATTCGGTTGGCTTCCCAAGGGCTCCGGTAAACTCAGTCAAGTTTCTTAACATCCTCTTCAGGGGACACCAAACATGTCCTCACTGGCTCAGCTGACAACAGCTGTCGTCTCTGGGACTGTGAAACAGGTAAGCTTCAGTCATTTACTCTTTTCAGCAAAAATTGACCACCTTTAGTGTACCTCTGTAAGTAAACAGAGATTCTAGGAGAATGCAAAATAAATCTAGAGATGGTTCCCAGTCTGGAGAATAAGACAATAAGAAAGGTAGAGGAGCAAGAAGTATTACAGCAATGTAATAAGCCATGAGAGAGGAAATAAACTACTGTGGAAGGCCAAGGGGAGCAGCTGACTGCCTAGAGCAAGGGTGGGAGCCCTGCAAGGTCTCCCAAGGTAAGTGACATGTGAGCTGGGGCTTAAAGGAAGAGAAAGACAACATCACTTTGGCACATGCAGGAATGAAAGCATGGAGACTGTCATGTCATTTGATCTGGTTGATGTCCTGTTTTGGGTGAGTGGAATAGATAGGCAGGAGAGAAGATGAGGCTGGAGAGGCAATTTAGGCCAAAAGAGTCCTTGGGTGCCAAATTCAGGAGCTTAGCTTTGTTCTATGGGGCTTGGGAGGAATTTGGCCTGCTGCGGAGGCCATTGCAGGGAAGAGTGGCAGTCTGGTTAGTTTTAGCAGGGTCCTGGAGCAGTGGGAAAGCTGACCCTGAAGATAGGGGAGCATATTCAACTCATTCATATTTAAGTTATCCAAGCCAGGTAGGTAAGAGCTGGGCCCAGGGCTGGGGTTGCGGTGAAGGGTCCAGCTTCAATGTATGTATATACTGGCATCCAGTTCTATGCTGGGCACTAGGGAGATCCAGAGAATCAGACCAGGTCCATTCTGTGGAGTAGCAAAGTTTGTGGGGGAGACAGATAGACTGTAAACCATTATGAGCAGTGCCACGTTAGCAGGATGTGTAAGGAAGAAGTGTAAAGATTTGAACAAAAGCACAGCAGTGAAGAAGAGAGCAGTGAGAATAGGGTCACCAGAGCAGGAGCAACAGTGAGGCATGATGACAGGCAGGCAGATAGATGATAGACAGGTCCTCCCTGCAGTGATAATGGACAAGTTGTAGCCCAGACCCTGCCTCTCTCCAGGGAAGCAGCTGGCCCTACTCAAGACCAACTCAGCCGTTCGCACCTGTGGTTTTGACTTTGGGGGCAACATCATCATGTTCTCCACGGACAAGCAGATGGGCTATCAGTGCTTTGTGAGCTTCTTTGACCTGCGGGATCCAAGCCAGATTGGTGAGGGCTCGGGCTCAGCTGGGGGCCTGGGTTGGTTTGAGGTGAAAGGCCAGCTCCTGAGGCTGGAGCTGGACATCTGCTGCCCCCTACAGACAACAATGAGCCCTACATGAAGATCCCTTGCAATGACTCCAAGATCACCAGTGCAGTTTGGGGACCTCTGGGAGAGTGCATCATTGCAGGCCATGAAAGTGGAGAGCTCAACCAGTATAGTGCCAAGGTAAGAGGTCAAGTGGAGCCTGAGCCCACCAGAATTATTTCTTCAAGAGGAAGTCAGGGCTAGGGATATGGCTCAGTTGGTAGAGTGTTTGCCTTGCATGCACAAGACCCTGGGTTCAATCCCCAGCACCCCCCCCCCCAAAAAAAAAAAAAAAAAGAGGAGGTTAGCACAATGATTAAGAGCAAGGGCTGGATACAGATATAGAATTCATCACTTTCTAGTTGGGTGGTCTTGGGCAATTTACATAACTTCCCTGAGTCTATTTATCTTAAATGTCTCAAGGATCAAATTACATCAGGTTTTGAAAAAGTTGTCAGAGTACTCAGGACATGTTAATAATGATGACAAATAAGTATTTTCCTGCCACCACAGAGCTAGGCCCTATGCTAGACTCCTAGGCAAAGAAGTGAGTCAGTCATTGTCTCTACTCCAGGGGGACAGAAACTTGCAATCATCTGGCATATGAGTTAGATTGAATTGTGCCATCATAAAGGTTTCAACCAAGTATGGAAGGTGTACTGTGTCACAGAGGAGGTGGCACATACACTACCTTGTGAAGAATAAGAGGAACTTCAAACAGGAAGCATAGACTATTCCAAAGACAAAAGAAGTGGCAAGAACAAAGGCCCAGAGTTAAGGAAGTACATGGATTCTTAGGGAATCACTCGTGTAGGAGAACTGGACAGGGCCTATATTTTTAAGGTCCATTGTGTTTAGAGGTAAGGAGTTGATTTTCCTCTAAGCAGTAGGGAATCTTTAAAGGGTTATTGGTATTTGGTGCAGTGCTTTATGCCTATCATCCCAGTGATTCAGGGTGCTGAGGTAGGAGGATCCCAAATTCAAGGCCAACCTGGGCAATTTAGTGAGACCTCTCCAAAATAAAAAGTAATGAGCTAGTTGTAGTTCAGGGATACAGTGACCTGAATTCAATCCCCTGTACCAAAAAAAAAAAAAAGCTGCAGCAGCAGTTAGGCATTGCCTTACACACCTGTAATCCCAGCAGTTTGGGAGACTGACGCAGACGGACTGCAAGATTGAGGCCAGTCTTAGAAACTTAGTGAGACCCTATTACAAAAAGGACTGGGGACATAGCTCAGTGGTTCAATCCCTGGTATAGAAAGAAAGAGATTTAGGGGTAACTGATTAGGTTGAGGGAGTGAATAAAGGGGACAGTCCAGGTTGTATTGGTTTCTGAGGAATAGTGGGCTAGTAAGAATCAGAGCTGGTCAGTCTCATAGTTCCCTCCTTCCTCAGTCTGGAGATGTGTTGGTGAATGTTAAGGAGCACTCCCGGCAGATCAATGATATCCAGTTATCCAGGGACATGACCATGTTTGTCACGGCATCCAAAGACAACACAGCCAAGGTAAGCCTGGGCAAGAGATCTGGTAGGACTGTACTCATCCTTTGGCTGCCCCCAAGAAGGTACTTTTTATATGTTTCTCCTTTCCTTGTCTCTCCAGCTCTTTGACTCTACAACCCTTGAACATCAGAAGACTTTCCGGACAGAACGTCCTGTCAATTCAGCTGCCTTGTCTCCCAACTATGACCATGTAAGGGAACCCCCACTCAGGCCAAGTCTCAGAAAGCTTCTTGGATCAGGATGTTTGTTTAGCAAGTAGGCTACAAATATGGTGTCAAACACAGAGGAGGAGCAGTAATAACGCTGAACATCTGAGTAGCCACAGGGGACTGGGCAGCTGAAGTGTCTATTTATCCCTGCCCTTGGCATCCCCCTGTTGTGATATGAGAGAGGTTAAGAACTTACAGGACAGGAGAAAAACAAAACAAAAAAAAATAGACCCATCTGCCCTTTGGGCCCATGTGGACTTTCTTCTTCCCTTTAGGTGGTGCTGGGTGGTGGTCAGGAAGCCATGGATGTAACCACAACCTCCACCAGGATTGGCAAGTTTGAGGCCAGGTAAAGGGGAGGGGCCTTCTTCCAAATGGAAACCATGTGCAGTATTTTTTGTTTTGTTTTTGTTTTAATGTTTATTTTTTAGGTGTGGTTGGACACAGTGCCTTTATTTTATTTACTTATTTTTATGTGGTGCTGGATCGAACCCAGGGCCTTGCACCTGCAGCCTCAGTGACTTAGTGAGGCTCCAAGCAACTTGTCTCTAAATAAAAAAATAAAAATGGTTGGTGATATAACTCAGTGATTAAGTGCCCCTGCATTCAATTCCTAGTACCAAAAATAAATCATGAATTTGACAGACATACCATTATGCATACCATTATATTTCTCTGTGACCATGCTTTTTTTTTTTTTTTAACCAGGGATTGAACCCAGGGTCACTTAACCACTGAGCCATCCCTCCCCACCATACCAGGGATTGAATCTAGTGGCACTTAATTTCAGAGCCCATCCCCAGCCCTTTTTTTTTTTTTCTTTTGAGATAGGGTTTCGCTAAATTGCTTAGGGCCTTGCTAAGTTGCTGAAGCTGGCTTTGAACTTGTGATCCTCCTGCCTCAGCCTCCCATGCTTTTGGGATTACAAGCCTGCACCATCACTGGTGCAGGCTGGTCTCCAGCTTGCAATGCTCCTACCTCAGCCTCCCAAGTCTCTGGGATTGCAACACTGCACCCAGCTATGCTTCTTGGCCATATAATGGGACAGTAATAATATATTTCATGAAATTTTGCTGATTAAATAAATGAGCCAATATTTGTTACAGCATTGTCCAGCAATAATAAGCACTCATTAAGTTTTAGCTATGTTCAGGCAGACATTTGGGTCCCTTCTTCCCCTGACTTCATCTTACTTTGTTTATTCATTTTCACTTACTGTAATCTCCCTGCTTTATTAACTTTTTTTATATAATTTGCATTTTGGGGAATGCTACCTTAGATGGGTTTTGGAAGGAGATGGAGAATGAATTAATGGAATCTCTTCTTTCCCCTTTCTTTCCTCCAGGTTCTTCCATTTGGCCTTTGAAGAAGAGTTTGGAAGAGTCAAGGGCCACTTTGGACCTATCAACAGTGTTGCCTTCCATCCTGATGGCAAGAGGTAGGGCCTCAGTGAAGGGAGTGAACTTAGCCCGGGTTGGGTCTCCACCCACTTTCCATGCCAGGCCCCACAGGCCTGCCTCTGCCACAGCCATTTGACTGGACCTTGCCCATCTTTTTCCAGCTATAGCAGCGGTGGTGAAGATGGATATGTCCGCATCCACTACTTCGACCCACAGTATTTCGAATTTGAGTTTGAAGCTTAAGAAGCTGGATCTTCATCCAGGCCAGGGAGGCTGCTTACAGAAAGTTTTGGACTCTGAGAAATAAATTAGTTTGGTAATAAATGGTTTCTGGTTAGACATTTTGTGGGGTCTGTCTCATCATTTTCCCTCCTCACTAATACCTCAGCAAGCCGATGCCAATCATGAACACCTTTATTATTTAGGCCTTTTCCCTATACTTCAGACACTTGCAAATTAGGACTTCAGTATTCTGGGCTGGCCTAGGTTGTAGGCATGCTCATCCAAAGTCAGAGGTCCTGAGGGGCCTGGAAAGGTTTCAGGGACACTTCACCACTATTCAAGAAGTCATCACTTAGGTTAGGGGCTCAAGTAGAAGCTGTGGGCTGAGAGCCTTTTGTCTTCTCCCTTTCTGTCACTATTTGCCACACCTTCTCCCATGCTACTTCTGAAGACTCAGGTGGGCGGGTCCAGCGCAGAAACAGGCCTGAGGAAGAGGAAAACAGGTAAGGAAGCTGAAAAGAGAAGCTAACTACCCAGGGGAGGGGAGCAGTCACCTTGCCATAGCCGCAGGCTCTGGGGCTCCACAGAAGGCCAAATGGCCAAGGGATTGAGCACATAGAGTGGGTTCCGGAGTTTTCGTTGTTCCTTTAGCTGGTTGAGCCCAGACCACAGGGAGTGTGTTCGAGTCCTCACTTCACAGAGGCATCTGTAGAGAATGAGAGGGTGAGTTCCAGCTGTGCCCTCTGGGATTCTGGGGGTACAACCCTGGTTAGTAAGGTGACAGTTACTCTGGGGCAGTGATTAACCACCTTTTTCTGCAAATTATCTTGATCGATCTATTGGACTCTAGAATAAAACAGGAATAAGACAAAACCCTATGGAGTTCTGTTTAGAGGGAGAAACCAATTTAGTTTTGCCTAATTGTCAGGGAAGGATAATTAAGAATATGTTACTTGAGGGCCTGGGGCTGTAGCGCAGTGGCAGAATGATTACCTATAGCACATGTGAGGCAGTGGTTTGATCCTCAGCACCCCATATAAAATAAATTAATAAACAAAGATGTGTCCATCTACAATTGAAAAAAAAAAGTGTGCTACTTTGAGCTGAGTATCACTAGAAGACTAGAAGTTCACATCTACAAAGACAATGCTATGGTTTAGGTCTGGAATTTCCCTTAAAGGCCTATATGCTAAAGTTCTAGGTTTCCACCTTAATGTTCTTGGGAGGTGACAGAAACTAAGAAGTGGGGCCTAGTGGGAAGTCTTCAGGTCATTGTGGGCATGTCTTTGAAGGTTATAGTGGGACCCAAGCCCCTTTGTTCTTTACTGAGTCCTGGCCATGAGATGAGATGAGGTGAGTGGTTTTCCTCTGCCATACACTCAGGACCAAAAGCAACCAGACCAACGAATCATGGACCAAAACCCTGCCAAAACTGAGCCAAAATAAAAGTTTTATAGATGTCTGTGTGTGTGTGTGTGTATGTATGTGTGTATATATATACACATACAAACATACATGTTATATATATCCAAAACTGAGCCAAAATAAAAGCTTTATATATATATATATATATATATATATATATATATATATATGTATATAATTATATCTATAATTTATATATATAATTTTTTTTGGTTGTAGATGGACACAATACCTTTATTTTATTTATTTTTATGTGGTGCTGAGGATTGAACCCAGTACCTCCTATGTGCTAGGTAAGCACTCTACCACTGAACCCCAACCCCAACCCAAAACTTATGTAAATTTTTATCTCAGGTATTTTTTAAAAAATTTTTTTGTAGTTGTAGATGGACAGAATGCATTCTTTTTATTTGTTAATTTTTATGTGTGGTGCTGAGGATCGAATCCAGTGCCTCACACATGCTAGGCAAGTGCTTTGCCACTGAGCTACAGCCCCAGCCCATCTCTCAGGTATTTTGTTAAAACTTGGCAGGGGTGCAGGGGGTGCTGCATGAACCAAGGAAGAAGTGGAAAATGAACCAATGAAAATATTTGTAGGTCTAACGAGTTATTTAAAAACTAAAGAAAGTGCCAGCTGTGGTGGAAATGCCTGTGATCCCAGCAGCTCAGGAGGCTGAGGCAGGAGGATCAAAAGTTCAAAGGCAGCCTCAGCAAAAGTGAGGCACTAAGCCATTCAGCGAGACCCTGTCTCTAAATACAATTAAATAAATAAATAAAGCAGGGCTGGGGATGTGGCTCAGTGGTCAAGTGTCCCTGAGTTCAATCCCTGGTACCAAAAAAAAAAAAAAAAAAAAAAAAACCTGATAAAAGTGGAGGCAGGGGAATCATAGGAAGGCTGCTGAATATTCCAGATGGAAAGAAATGAGTCTGGATAAGGGTAATGGGAAGGACCTCTGGCAAGAAAGAAACAAGCTAAATGTTTAGGAGAAAGGCTAAAGATGAGGGATGGGGAAAGGGAGATAAAGATAACAGTTTCTAACCTGGATGAATCATGAGTGGAGTTGGTAAAACAAGCTAGGATGTGGGTGAAGATGAATAAATATTATCTCCACCTTGAGAAACTCCCTCCTCCCTCTCTCATTGATCAGACAAAGGGCTTATGGAGCTGATTGGGATGCAAGAAGCCGACCAATGATAAAAGTTACCACTTTTGTGTGCCTATTATGTGCCAGGCACTGTGCTAAACACTCCATGCTTCAACTCAGTTAATCCTCGCAGCCCCTCTATGGATTACAGCTACTGTTATCCTCTCTGTGCTACTGATGAGGAAACAAAGATTCAAAGAGGTTTGCTCATGATCACTCAACAGGTGAGTGGTGGTGCTGGAATTAGAGCCTGCATAATTTAAGTCCACTTTCAACCTCTATTCTAAGGTTCCACTAGAATCTACTTTGCAAAGTTAACAGAGGCCCCAGCAATCATTTATTTCTGCAAAATCTTTTTGCTGAGTGCACTGATGCAGGCCTGTAATCCCAGCAACTCAGGGAGCTGATGCAGGAGGATCACAAATTTGAGGCCAGATTCAGCAATTTAGCAAGACTCTGTCTCAAAAAATAAAAAAAGCTCAGTGGTAAAGCACCCCCCCATTCAATCCCCAGTACCAAAACAAAAACACTTTCCCCTTTAGTCCTCATTTTCTTTTCTTTTTTGGGGGGTTGTGGGGTTGGCAGGGGATTGAACCTAGGGGCACTTAACCATTGAACCACATTCACAACCCTTTTTTGAGACAGGGTCTAGCTAATTTACTTAGGGTCTCACTAAATTATGTAAACTGGCTTTGAATTTGTGATCCTCCTGCCTCAGCCTCCTGAGCCACTGGGATTATAGATGTGTGCCACTGCTCCAGGCCCCTCAATTTCTTTTTTCGATATATTTTTAATTTATTATTTTAATTTTATTTTTAACTGATACATAAAAACAAAAGTTGTAAATGTTATAGGGTAATGTGATATTTCAATACATGTAAACATTATGTAATATTTTAATCAAGTTAAATATTCGCTGCCTTAAACATTTACCATTTCTTTCTTTCTTTCTTTTTGGTACTGGGGATTGAACCCACAGGTGTTTGACCACTGAGCCACATCCACAGCCCTTTTAATTTTTCTTTTGAGGGTCTCAATAAGTTGTTTCAGCTAAGTTGCTGAAGCTGGCCTCAAACTTGCAATCCTCCTGCCTCAGCATCCTGAGTCACTGGGATTACACGCCTGCCTAGCCACTGTCCTCAGCCACTTATCATTTCTTTATGGTGAAAACTTTCAAAATACTTTTTTCCTCTTCCAACTTTTTTTTTTTCCTTGTGTGTACTAGACAAGTACTCTACCCACTGAGCTACCTCTCCAGTCCTCTCCTCCTGGCTTTCCTAAATATACGCTTATTATTATTATCTATATTCATTCTACTGTGCAATAGTACCCCAGAACTTTTTGTTTCTATCTAACTGAAACTTAGTACAGTCCTTATTTCAAGGCAGGAGTGCACTTGTTCTTGGCAATAACAGAATGGGTAGATGTAAAGGGTTGGTCTTAGATTTGTCTATCTTTGGGTTTGCAGATGTTAGAGGGAAGTGTGAGATTAGGAGGGAAGAAGGGAAGGCCACAAAGAGTTTTCCTAAAAGGAAAAACTCATTGAAAGGGAAAGATGCCCTCTAAGAAAGCAACGGGCATCTGCCCCAACCCACCTTAACACACGATTAGCTCACCTCTCCTTTTCACTGTTGCAGAGGAAGGTGCCAAAAGGGGAGGCATAGGCGTGTTCAAACAGTGCCAACAGCAGCCCCTCCCCAAACTCCAGCGACAGCGGGAACTGGCGGCCCAGCTGCCACACGCAGTCCAGGAAGAGGAGAAAGGTGGGTGCCTCGTGCTTGGGGCGGGCGTGGGAGAAGGCCGAGTGGGCACAGCGCAGCTGGAAGGGGTGGCCAGCCTGGGGAGGGGGCAGAGCCATGGGCAAGGGAAGCAGGGTTTCTGGAGGGAGGGGCAGGGCTGGGACAGGGTAGCCACCTACCTGGATCCACTCCCGTTCCACCAGTTCCTGGAATCCAGTTATGGTCCGGCTCAAGGGGTCCAAGATGAGTTGGGCCAGTGAAGTCACAAGCAGAGTGCTATCTCTGCCTTCAGCCCCATGTACCAGGATGCAGGCTCCTTCCCTATCATGGGAAGGGCCCATGAACAATGGCAACTTTTTCCCTGCCTGGGGTGGCAAGACCAGGAATAGGCTGTGCCCAGTTCTAGACTGTATTTCCTTATGAATCATGGTTTTGAGAGCCCTGCTCATCCCACCATATCCATTCTGTCTCACAGGGTAGGAACTTTACCTTTCCATTCCTTGGGCTGCCAGGCAGGCGGTGCTCAGTGCCTCCTTCACATGTGCCAGCCAGCGGCAGCCCTCCAGCCGACTAAGCCAGCGGTCCATGCTCTGCTCTGGGTCCCCACAAGCCTCTACTAGGCGCACAAAGCTCTCCTGGAGAGCCCGTCCCCTAGGCAAAAGGGAATCTGGTCATCCTTTCCCCAGTCCAAGCTCTGGGTGAGCCCAGATTGGAAGCAAGTGCTTCATCCCAATGAGGGAGGGAAATAGAACTTTCTGAGGAGCCCATTTGATAGGAGGGGCATAGAACCCTTTGGGGAGTCCAGTCTCATGGGGTATAAAACCCATGGAAGAGCCCTAATCTCATGAAAATATGTCATATCTTTGAGAAACCCTCCATCTTATAGGGCAAACTAAGACTCTTAGGGGAGTGCTAGTCTGTTGGAGGGAACCACTGTATTACAATACCCCAGGAAACCCCCAGTTATCCTTGAAGTACCCCAATCTGATGAAAACAACACAGTTCTCCTTGGGGAATCCCCATCCAATGAAAGAAACACAGTACTTTCGGGATTCTGCACCTGCTCCTACCTCTAGAAACCACTCTGCTCAAGGACATCAGTGACCCCACACCACACACCAGAAAATCTAATGCCATTAGTGGCCCTCTACCAGAAAATTTAACAGATTTTTCCACCCTCTTCAACATCTTCAGTGGATTCCCACTGGCTTGAGGATAAAGTCTAAATTCATAACCATGGTGTTCAAGTTTTTCATGGTTTTTCTCTGGACCCCATTCTCCCTTTAGCAGCATCTCTCCCACTTCCTACCCTACACTTCTAACACCGTGAAGTTGCTTGCAGCTCCCCAATAGGACAAATGACCAGGCTCTCTTTGCAGTTCCTTCTCTCTTCAGTTCCCTCTACCTGAAATGACCTTCTCCCTCCTAACTAACTCTTCTGCCTCTTTCAGGTCTCACCAAAAGCATCCTGTTCTCAGGGAAACCTTCAAATTACTAAGACAGGTTGCCTCCTCTTGCTACTACTTATTTCACTGAGTTCTAATTGCCCATTTACTACTGAGCTCTGTCAAGTCGAGACTACTCACCATGGCAGCCCCTATGCTCAATGTTGGGTGAATAAATTAATAAGAGTTTTACATATTGGATAGGAAAGCAGTCTACTCTCCCCAAAGCAACAGATACATCTATATCTGTGCAGGTACAGCCTTCAGGGAGGGGTGTGTGTGTATGTGTGTGTGTGTGTGCAGGTTTTTCCAGGAAGACTAATTTCAACTTAATGTAAAAAAGGTTCATTTTCTTTCCAGGCAGAGTTGGGGTACTCAGTGATGAGCTCTCTCATTTGTGGGTGTGAAAGTGGGGATGGCCAGCTGCCAGGATGGCTGCCAGGAAAGGTCTAAGAGTTTTCCAGAGCCCTGGCTCTTCTTCCCCTCCCACACACACATTCATGAAGGAAATCTAACGCCATCAGTGAACCCCACCAGAAATTCTAACAGATTTTTCAGCCCTGTTTAGCGTTTTCAGTGGTTCCTACAGCTTTTAGGATAAAGTCTAAGCTTATAACCATGGTTATGCAACAAAGCATCTTCTGTGGCAAAGCCTGGGAGAAGATGGGAGGCCTCCTACCTCTCCAGGGGTCGGTGCAGTCGTTTCCAGCCAGGGTAGGCGGCCTTGGCCTCTGTGCCCCCTCCAGTCATCCGGGCCTGTTTAGCAGCCTGGGCAGATCGTGTGTCCACTATGAAGCCCCGAGCCCCAGGGTGAGCCCCTGCCAGTACAGCTCGAAGCAAGTCCTCATCCTCAGCGCAGCGCCTCTTCTGGGGACCAGTCAGTGGCTGACTGGAGCGTAGCAGAACCTGTGGACAGGGACCCAGCTCAGGTTCAGGAATTGGGCTCTGGGCTTGGGGATCTTCTCGGCTAGGCCTACACTCAGGAGCCGCCTACACTAGGAAAAGGCTGACTGTGGCGCTGGGGCCTTAGGTGCGGAATTCACAAGGCTTCAGATGGGCTCTGCGAAGGTCATGGCTGTCTGAGGCCAGAGGTAGGAGGGTCCCTACGAGCAGACACCAGATCTGAGTTGACAAAGGAACTAAGCTTCAAGGGGTGGGGACCGGACCGAGAAAGGTGAAATCCAGAAAAGCGGGAGGGGCGGGGCCCGAGTCCGGACCTCAGGATTTCCAGGAGGCGGGGCTTGTTGGAGGCAGAGCGAGGCGGGGCCTGAATGGGGCAGGAGTCCCAGGCAGCAGCCAGACGCTAATTGGCTCCTCCAGGGCGGAAAAGGGCTTTTGGATCTCAGGGCGGAGCCTGGGGAGGGGCTGGCTCACGGTTCCACTGGGTGCGTGGTGGTAGCAGAGCACTGGGAAGCGGCCTCCCTGGCGGAAGCGGGCGCTCCGCGCCAGGGCATCGTCGTCCACCGCTCGAGGCACGATTACCGCTCGAGGGTAACTGGGGCACAAACTAAAGTCCTGGTTCACCTCGCTCAGCCGCCACGCGTTGGTCTGCAGCATAGAGAGGGTCGAAGGCTAGGTCTAAGGCACCCAATGAGTGCCCAGCCGGCGTGCCCCTGCTAGACCCGGTGCTTCCTCATCCCCAGGCCCTCATGACCGCGCCCACCTCGCGAGCTACTCGCTTGTAGTAGCATTCGGGCGGATGGAAGTGCCAGGCGTCGCCCAATCTCAGGCCCTTGGGACGGTAGAAGAACGGAAAGGAGGTGATGACCGATTCCAGAGAGGACAGCGCCTGGGGACGAACGTCAGGGGCAGTAGGATTTATCTCAATTGAGTACATTCCAGCTCCTCCTCTCCTCAACTCCCAACTCTCCTTGTACCCCAAGCCATCTTGCATGTCATGCCATTTAGCTGAGCCTCGGGACAACACTGGGTACAGAGCCCCTTTGCACTAGTAACCCCCTTTTTGCTCCCCCCAGTACTGGATAGGGATAGCTTAAGGACCTCGGGTGCGCCCCCTGAATACCTCGATGGAACGGGCGATGTCCAGGGTCGCTTCCACGCCCTCTATATCCAGCTGCAGCACCCTCAGGTCCTTACAGCGTAGGGTGATTGTGCCGGAGTCACCCGCCACCCTAGGGGTGGACAGACCCAGGCTCAGTATACCCCGCCCTCCATCAGGGGAAGAGAACGAGTTTCATACAATTGGACGTTATGCAGGAGGGCGCCAGCTCCAAGTGCGCTGGCCCTTCCCCCTCTCCCCATAGCGTCGCGCGCTCCCCAACTTGTGGGACGTCCCAGCCACGTCTCACCGCTTCTCGATGGAGTCGACACTACGCAACAGCAGTAGCCACAGGTCTGCAGTCGATGGGGGCCCTGGAGACAGCAGCAGGTGGTGGCCGGTGACGCACAGCGTGCCGCGCAACGGGGGCTCCTCCGGGCCGGGGAGTAGCTCGGCTTGAGCCCGGCCGGTGCGGATCAGCTCTGAGAACTCCATTCTACCAGCGGGGGCCCTGGGGCCCAGCGGGACAGGCTCTGGTAGCGTCGGGCGGGGCGAACGCGGGCTCCAAAAGGGACAGGAACTGGCTGGGCAGCTGGCGACGCCGGCAGGACAGCTGTTAAGGAGGCCCCTCAAAGGAAGGGAACGTACAGTTCCACAGGGATTTTCTTCTACTGCCAACATCAGCGAGGACCCCGGCCAAAGTCTGTTAAGGAAACCTCAAATTTCCTCATCTGGGAAATGGGGAGAATAATCTTGCCTGAAGCCCTTGTTTGGGTCTCAAGAGGCACTCGATATTTGGGGCTTTTTATTTTGGGGGTGCTGGCACCCCTGCTGCCTTTTGAAAGAAAGAAAAATAACCATCTATTCTTCTGCACTGTGGTGGATGGGTTGGAAAGTGTGAAACTGGGAACTACCTACTTCCTCCCATACCTCTGAAGCTTGAGTGGGGGAAATCCCTTGGTCCACCTTAAATGCATGCAGCTGTGTAGCTGGCGCCCCTCCCGCTCCACAGCTGGAAGTCCCTGCCTGAGGGCGCCCTGGAAAGTGGCCAATTCTAGCTGTTGCTGATCCTCTATTACTCACAGCTTATGCTTCATCCTTTCCCCAGGTGCCTACTGCCCAGACAATGATCGAGGCCATGTGTTCGGTGCTGAGGGGCAGGGATGACTGATGAAGATTCTATTCATAGAATTTTCAGTCTGATTCATCATCTATCCATCCACCCACCTAAGTAATTTTTTAAAATTTCTTATTGATGTCTGCACTATGCTGAATCTGATTAAGAATAATTCACTAGGTAACCCTTCTTTTAATGAAAAAAGTGAAATCATAGGTGGACTCCTATAATGAAACCATAAAATTGGAGCTGTTTTATCAAGAACCAGATAAAGAGTTCAAATTATAAAATTTCAGTCCAACAGCAGCAGTTATGGTGGGAATTTGATAGACATGCAAATTCTCAGGTCCCACTCCAGATATACTGAATCTGAAACTTTGTGAGTGAAGCTTTCCAGGTAATTCTAATGCATGCTCAAGTTTGAGAATCACTAGAATGTATACAAATAGGCAAAACTAATTTAAGCTGTCAGAAGTTAGGGTAGAGCTGGGACTGTAGCTAACTGGTAGAGCACTTGCCTAGTACACACAAAGCTCTGGATTCAATCCCCAACACCAGCCACCAAAAAAAAAAAAAAAAAAAAAAGAGGAAGAAAGAGAAGAAGAAAAAAATATGACAGGCCAGGAGTACTGTACTTATAATACTTCCAAAGTTATTGATCTGTCCCAGTAGAGGCTCACAGAGGGATAGGGACTTGCCCCAAGCCTCACTGAACCAGCACTGCAACCTGGTCTCCTTACTGCCAGATGGGGCCTCTGGGCCCTATTCCTTGGCTGATGGGCTAGAGCTATGAATGAGGATGGGGCAGCTTGTCAACCTCCTCCCCCTCTCAACTTCTGGTCTTGGGTCTTGGGAAGAGAGCCAAGACTGGTGTGAATGATGCTTTTCTTATCCTGGAGCAACTTCCTTTCTGGGAACTGGGAGTCTCCTTCTGGGCAAAGACAATAAATTTCATCTAAAGAACTAGAAAAGCAGGGCTCCTCCTACCCCCACCGGATGGGCATCACGTGGCTCCTGGTTAGGATTCCAGGAAAATTCCAGTCCTTGCACACTTAGCTTCACACACCCATATGCTCACCCAGCCTGGCACACTCAGACTCTCTATCCCACCTTGAACATTCACCGTCACCCACTCTCTGGCACACTCTTTTTACTCTTAGCTTCTACCACCTCTCCCAGAGCCATATTGCAGGCCTTTCCCTCATCCCAGAGCAGCAGCCCTGCCTTGTCACTCACTGCAAACCCACCATGTCCCTGGGGCCACCGAAATTCCAGGCAGTGGATGAGGAGGATGAGGAAGAGGAGGTGGAGAGCCTGGACTCTGTGAAGGCACTGACAGCCAAGCTGCAGCTACAGACTCGGCGACCCTCATATCTGGAGTGGACCGCTAGGGTCCAGAGCCAGGCCTGGCACAGGGCCCAAGCCAAACCTGGGGCCGGTGGACCTGGAGCCATCTGCGGCTTTGACTCAATGGACTCTGCGCTTGAGTGGCTCCGGCAGGAGCTGGTGAGTCTGGTGGCTTAGATTGCCTTACATGGGGTCTTCAGGCCAATCCTCCTTAGGACCCAAGACCATGGGTGTGGGGAGGGGATGAGAACAGATCCCCTAACTCCAGCAACTGCCAGCTCCTGTGTCTCTGGGGCTCAGGAGCCAGAAATATCCTTGTTTACTATTTTATGTGGAAAGTCTTGCTGAAGAAGGATTACATCAATCTACAGAGCTTATGCTCGTGTGGCTCAGGGGAGAGAGCCCTGCCCTTGGGGGACCATCAGTTATAGAGAAAGACATGGCCTCCCCTACTTTGGGAACTGCTATGCCCTCAGAGAAACACAGTGAAGTATACAAAAGAAGGTACTGATCATGTTGTAGGCAGAATCTGAAGAGGAGAGTGTTGAATATTAGCTGTCAAGCCAACATGTGCACATATAAAGGTGTCCAGGCTCCAACTTGGAGATTTTTTTGGGGGGTGGGAGTAGGGGGGTTACCAAGGATTTCACTCAGGGACACTCGGCCACTGAGTCACATCCCCAGACCTTTTTTGTATTTTATTTAGAGACAGGGTCTCACTGAGTTGCTTAGTGCCTTGCTTTTGCTGAGGCTGGCTTAGCCTCCCAAACCGCTGGGATTACAGGCATGTGCCACGGTGCTCTGCTCCAACTTGGAGATTTTACTTAGTTTATCTGGGATGGGGTCCCAGGCATCTGTATTTGCATAATAATGGCTCTTAGCGCTGAGAACTCCTAGTGTGGAGCAAGATCTGAGTGATGGGGAAGGATGAAGCTAGGGTGAGTGGGCGCCAGGGACAAACCAGTGCAAAGAAAGGCCCAGAGTGTTGACAGGAAAGTAAGAAAGGCAGGTGACACTGGAGCAGGCCTCGCAGGCTCACGCCCCCTCTCGGCCGCAGCGGGAAATGCAGGCTCAGGACCGCCAGCTGGCAGGGCAGCTGTTGAGGCTGCGGGCCCAGCTGCACCGGCTGAAGGTGGACCAAGCTTGTCACCAGCACCAGGAACTGCTGGACGAGGCCGAGCTGGAGCTGGAGCTGGAGCCCGGGGCCGGCCTGGCCCTAGCCCCGTCGCTAAGGCACTTGGGCCTCACGCGTATGAACATCAGCACCCGGCGCTTCACCCTCTGCTGAGGGCGACCTGGGAAGACAGATGGGAGGGGTATCCCAGAGGGCCAGCACCTGGTGTGGTGGGGGCACATTCAGGTCTCTTAGACCCCACCCCAATCTCCTCAATAAAGCCCTCTGCCTCCCATCAAGGTCTCTGCAGTTTTTCATTTAGGCCCAAGGCCTCTGTCAGTCACTGGGACCAGGAGTTTCGAGGGAGAAGAGAAGGTCTGGTTGTGGGTGGAGAGGACTATTGCAGCCCCATCTCCCCACAGCTCATGATCAGAAGTGGTAAAAAACTTGAAATCCTACCCACAAGAGGTGATTTAGGTTCAGTGGGTGACTGAAGAATGCCAAATCTGGGCTGGCCATGTAGTTCTGTGGGACAGCACTTGTTTAGCATGCACAGGGCCCTGGGTTTGGTCCCAGTACTGAAAAAGAATGCAGAATCTGATAAGCCTGGGTTTAAAGCCAGCTCCCCCATTTATTTGTTAGACATTTAGGAGGTCCCTAATTACTCCCTGAATCTGTCTTCTTCTAAAATGAAGATACTAATTCTCATTGGACAGGTAACTGACTATGGCTCAACTGAGGGAGTGCACAGTAAATACCCAGCCGATGTATTGCTTATCATTACCATCACATTGTTACTCTTGCACAGAGGCCCAGAGATGGACTATGAAGTGCTCAGGTTTACCTGGCAAGGGCAGCTGGACCTTGCACCAGGCCTGGGGCTCTGTTATCACCCTGGTTTTTTACTTTTGTGTTTCTCAGCCTTTGTTTCTGTTTTACTCTCTTTGACTTTCCAACTCAGGCTTCCTCCTCCCCCCACCCATTTCCTGTCCCCCTTCCCTCCACCGCTGAGGTGCACACAGACAGCATCAGCTTCCACCTCACAAACCCCAACAATGCTCTGTGGGCTCCCTTTCTCCCCACCCCCACTGCTCGCTCAGTGGAGCTCAGGAGGCCATGAACTTACACTTTCCTCCTAGTGGGGTCCAGGCTCAATTCTTGGGCCTGAGAGGGGCCACCAGAGCTCCTCATATATCACTCACTGATGACCTGGTCCTCAGCTTATGATGGGTGCCATTTCCAGCCTGGATGCAGGAAATTGAATTTGGCCTGCCTGCTGTTTGTGGCAAGTTTCTTGCCTCCTGCTGATAACAGAAAGTGCTGACAGTCTGACCAAAGCCCTTGTGTGCCTGGAGCAGTGCATTTTCTTGGCCTTCCACCAGTGCAGGAGATGGTGCCAGGCCGTGCTCTTCTACCAGGGGCTGTGGCCTCGCCTCTGCCTGCATTAGCAGTGCTGCCCCACTTGTCAGCCATCATTAATGAGCATTATCCTGCCCTCTGTCTATAGCAGGAGCTGTCACCATCTCCTCTTGAAGGTTGTCCATCCTGACTCCCAACACAGGATGTTGTGAGTGTTCTGTCTGTAGAAGGGTTTTGCCCGGCCTTAGTCTATCCTGTGATTCTAATAAAGTTATTGTCCAAGCCCTGCAATGACATGAGTACTGTTCTGTCCTATCTATAGCAACTGTTTCAGCCTCAAGTGTGACTGTAACACATGTGGTCTTCTCTCTAACTATTTAACAGTCATATTGTTCTATCCTCTGACTGCCAATGAGAACTTTTTTTTTTTTTGGTATTGGGGATTGAACCCAAAGGCACTTTAGCACTAAGCTACATTCCCCCAGTCCTTCTTTTTTTAGTTGTAGATGGACACATACCTTTACTTCATTCATCTATTTTTTTTTTAATTTATTTTTCAGTTTTTGTGGACACAACATCTTTGTTTGTATGTGGTGCTGAGGATCGAACCTGGGCCGCATGCATGCCAGGCGAGCACGCTACCGCTTGAGCCACATCCCCAGCCCCATTCATCTATTTTTTATGTGGTGCTGAGGATCGAACCCAGCACCTCGCACATGTGAGGCAAGTACTCTACCACTGAGCTACAACCCCAGCACCCCCAATCCTTTTTATTTTTTACTTTGAGACAAAAATCTCACCAAGTTGCCTAGGCTGGCCTTGAACTTTCAGTCCTCCTGCCTCAGTCTCATGAGTAGCTGGGATTATATGTGTGTGCTACTGAACCTGGCAAATGATGTTACCTTTGCTGTCAGACTGAAACAAGGGGGCCACTCAGCAATCACACTGTGATAGTGGTGCCATTTGCCTTTCTGTGTAAGCTGAGCAGGTATGTGCTCGCCTGCACTCACTGGGGTCAAGGGCTGCCCATGAATCACTTGCCCTGATAGAGTCTGGAGGGCAGGAGGGAGGGTCTATCAAACATCCTCCCCTGCACTTTAAACTTCCAAATACCATCCTCAGAATGAGTAGGGTCCGGCCTGGAGATGTCTAGGACCCCTAGAGGCTGAGGGGCGGGGGGCTATTTTGACAGGAAGCTTGGGGTGCTACAGGCTTGTGGTTGGGCTGCTGGGGCCTGGTTGGCTGCAGAGTCCTCAGGAGGAGGCAGGAAGTCAGGGTGGAACGTGGGCGCAGGGAGACAGGTGGTGACTGCGACGGCAAGGGGAGCTGAGACTGTATCTGGGCAGCCGAGCAAGGCCAGGAGGACCATGTGAATGGGCCAGAGGGCTCCTGGGCCGGACAGGTAAGGAGTACTGGGAACCAGGGTCCAGGGACTGTGGTAGGGAGCCAAGCCCAGAGGGCTGCAGCTATGTGTAGGGCCACATCTGCAGCAACCCTTCAGGCTGAGAGAAACACATCACTGGAGGTCAGCTGGATCTCCCCTTTCCTGTGAAATTGATGGCTCTTGCCTCTGCCACCATCTGACGAGGAGATTATCGCTTCTTGGAGACCTGGCACATGGACATCAGGTATTAAAAAGGCCTTCAGAAATCACCACGTCCAGTTCCTCATCCCATGAGAATGAGGCATTTAAGACCCACCAGTAAAGCGGTGGCTGAGCTAAACCCTGGAGAGTAGTGGCCTAGGCTGGGACACCTTTTTGCTCCACAATGGAAAAGGGTCATAGGACAGTCTTGAGTCAGAAGACCCAGGAATCAATACTTCTGGTCCCTAGGCCAGACAAGAACCTCTTGAAAGAGACAGAGAGTTACCCAGAGGATCCAGATGGAGGTGTGAGAAGTGACCTTAGCCTAAGTGACCAGCATTGTTTGAGAGAGGGAGGAGACTACCAAGGGGAGCGAATGGGTTTGTGAGGGGATATTTGTCATCAGGGATGGAGTCCTTGGGCGGACACATCTGCTCTGACTCTGGGAAGTCTCAGAAAGAGAACGATGAGAGAGGAAAGAGGAAGGGCTATTTTTATCCCGGACAGGAGTACAGCTGGCCCTAGGCAAGGAACTTCTGAACTTCCATCTGGAAAGTTGCCTTTCCTGCCTTGCCAAATGTCACAGCAGGATGTCCTCCCCTCTGCCCTGTCCCCTCCTGCTCAGCCCCAGCTGCATGTATAGGTCAGTTTGTCCTCCGTATTGCGGCTCCAAACCCGGGGTGGGGGAGCTCAGAACAGCGCCGAAAGCTACCTCCGGTCTTCGGAGAGACTAACTCGGAGCCTTCAGCTTCTGGGGGTAGTCCCCACCTCAGCCAGACTTTCCAGGTTTCCCCTGCCTCACTGGAGTTTTTCTTGTCACATATTTTCCACCTAGTCAGCATGTCCCAGCCTTTCTCCTATCTCCTGCCCCAAGGCCTGTCACCTGTTGTGGGGACTGGAAACATGCTGAAGCTCTCCCTGAGCTCCAACAGGGCTCATCTACTCCCGGAAAGGCAAGAGCAGTCCCCTGCACTGAGTCCTGTGCTGGTGGACCCATCAGACAGTGTCCCTAGCTTTTGGGGCTCAGGGACAGTCTCTCTCAAAGGGAGAAAGGGCCAAGGACAGGGGCAGAGAATGAGCTGAGGGTTCAGAGGAGGGAGAAGACCTCCCTCAAGGGGATCTGAAAAGCTTCCTGAAGAGTCAAGGAAGTTTTAGAACAGAGGCCCATTTTGGAGAGTGAAGCCAAGGTCATTCATTATTCCTGGGTTCTGTTCCTTGGGACCATAAAGACAAAGTCCTCAGAGTAAAGGTAAGAGAGCCTAGAAGTGTGGTGTAGTGTGAAGAATGTGCATTTCAGGGTCAGAAAGACCCAAGTAGAATTCCGGCTTTGCCATTTCCTTGAGTAGCTTCATAGCTCCAAACTTTAGTTTACTTATCTGTAAAGAGCAATAATAGATCTCTCCCTTACAGGGTACTTGCAGGAGGTCAAAGAGAAAATAATGACTGTGATGTGCCCTGGGTAGTACCTGACACATAGTAGGTGCTTAGGGGAAGCCAGGCACTTCCTTCCCTGCAAATGATGCACTAAGGGTTGGAAGGGCTGTCCACACCCAGAATCACACCTACTCAGCGCTTGGCCTTGGCAAGGCAATGAACCGCCCATTCCCTCACACTTGTGGTGTGGCTTTGCAAACAAGCTGAGCTTGTTTCCTGTGTGTAGTGGAGTGTGAGAACGAAGGCACACTGGATTTTGAGATAGGCTATAGGGTTTGCCTTAGAAGAGGGCCCCTTATATAGTCAGAGTCTCTCTCTCTCTCTCTCTCTCTCTCTCTCTCTCTCTCTCTCTCTCTCCCTCTCCCTCTCTCTCTCTCTCCTGCTCCTCTCCCTCTCTGTAAAACACTACAATTAATATCATCCTAAGAAAACTGAAGTATGCAGGTCTGCTCAGAGTTAGAGGCAGGGGCTACACATACACGACAGGCTGGATCTTACAAATCCATAAAACACCTACAACTAGTGCTTCAAGATCAGGCTCAATTTATGAAAGCATTTCTGAGGGGAGGTGAGGTAAGGGCAGGTGGAACCAAGATATCATCCAGGAATGTTTTGCTTTTCCCTTTTGTCCTTTTTCTGCTCTTGCAAGCTAAATACCGCTAAATACAAGTTCTACAATGAGCTACACCCCCAGCTCTGGAATGTGGTCTTTTTTTTTTTTTTTTTTTGGTGGTACCAGGGAATTTAACCTAGGACCACTGAGCTACATCCCCAGCCCTTTTTATTTTTTGTTTTGAGACAGAATCTCCCAAAGTTGCTAGGCTGACCTTGAACCTGCTTCATTCTTCTGAGTCGCAGGGATTACAGGTGTGGGCCACCATGCCTGCCTGGAATGTGGTCTTTAAAAATCCACCTCAGTGTGCATTTTAAAGTGTCTGGAGTTCTATCTCCAACGCTTGTGCTAAAGAACACTAGTTCCGAGAGAGGCACCTGGAAAGAAAAGGGCCCAATCAACATGGCCTCTTCTACAAGCTGTGTTCCCCCAGGAGTTTCACAGTCAGTGCTAGCTTGTTAAAAGCTCTGCAAGTCTCTCCAGAGAAGAAGCCTTAATTCATTTTGTCCCATCCAGTGTCTCCCAAATTTGCTGGGCCACACGACCTCTTTTTCCTGTGCTGCCTGCCAGTTCCATGTCTACACCTTTTGAGACAAGGATGGAAGTTGAAGGATACGACACTGTACTTGACACTCCTCAAAGGATTGTGCCTCTGACAGAGTTTTTGTGTGGGTGGTGGTTTTGTTGTTTTTGTTTTTCGATTGTAAAATTAGCACATACTTGTTTTTTTAAAAAATTAGAATAGAGTCATAAAAAGAAATACCAGAAATGCAGCCCCCTCCAATTCTACTTCTGGGATGTACTCACTGGGAATATATTGGTGTGTGTCCTTCCAGATTTTTCCACATATAAATGATGCGAGACATCACAATGAAGATCCTGGTCCCCAGAGGCAGGCAGACCAGGGTTCAACTCGAAACTCCACCACTCATTTGTTTGTTATGTGGCCTCAGACAAATGCTGTACCCAGTTGATGCCTCAGTTTTTGCATCTGTAAAATGGAGATAATAATAGCACTTGTATCATAGAATTATCATAAGAATCACATGAAATAATGCAAATAAAGGCTTAGCATAAAGCCTGGCTTGAAAGAATCCCCCACATACGTATATTTAAATGCAAATTGGCTTACACTCTCCATTTTGTTTGGCAGCTTGCTTGCCCGGTTGATTCTAGGAGCTTTTCCTTGTCACAGAGCTCTACCAACACCCTTATCGACTTTAGCTAAATGGTACTTTGGTAAAAGAGTAATGGTGATTTTGAGATGTTATTTCCTGGCCAGTTTTGCTGTCTTGTGTTGCTATGTTGTCAGGCATCAGAAAGATTACCTTTCAGCCAGCTGATGACGGCCTCCTGTGAAATGAAGTGACCCATCAGAGGGACACCCTCTCTGTCACAGAGGGCAAGGCCAAGTGATAACACTCTCTCTGTTTGCTTACCTCTGTGTCCCCGGCACTAGATCAGAGCCTGGCACACAGGAGATGCCTGTTAGTTTTTTTATCAATAGGCTGACCAATTAAGGAAGATGTGGCTGGGGATGTAGCTCTGTGGTAGGGCGCTTGCCTAGTTCCTGACATCATACCTGCAAAAAAAGGAGGTGGCTCCTTTAAGCCACTGACAGAGGCCCTAAACCCAAAGATCTCTCCCACAGAGCAGCATTTCCCACATTATAGCCTGTTACATCACCGATGTGTGTGAATAATTTCAGTGGATGATGGATGAACATTTACAAATGTGAATATGTATGCTTATTTCATTGTGCACTAATGTGTAACTTCTGTTTACTTATGGCTGGTGATACTTGGTTTTTCATTGGAGGAGGTAAAGTTTTCATTTCGGGTAAACATATTAAAGGTGAAAAGGTGGTGTGTGGGAGTGCCAAAAATCACAAAGGAAAATGAAAATGGTAGAGATCATTTTAGTCTGGAAGACATTTAAGTCTGGTATCATAAGATGCCCGTGCTTAGCCCCAAATCATTCTCATATTTAAATTAAATACAACTGAGCTGCACCCCTAGCCCTATTCTTATTTTTTAGTCCTTATTACGTACAAATCACCAGGTTAAGTATTTTATTATATGGGATCATCTATACATCACCTAAAATGCTCATAACGGTCCCCAGATGCAGTTACTATTTTTATTCCCATTTTGCAGATGGAGGAACTGAGGGAGGCTTAAAAGGTTTAGTAATCTATCCAAAGGCCCTTTGCCAGTGAGTAATTGAGAGATCATGAGATTGAACTTGAGTCACTATGAAATGGACATAGTGAGCTGAGCTTCCATAACCTGTAGAAACTTTCATAAAATGTTATGGAGGGCTGGGATTGTGGCTCAGTGGTAGAGCACTCGCCTAGCCTGTGCAAGACCCTGGGTTTGATCCTCAGCATCACATAAAAATAAACAAATAAAATAAAGGTATTGTGTCCAACAACAACTGAAACAATACATATTTTAAAAATTATATGGATTGCCACACTATAAATAAGGTTGCATCCAAATAAAACTCCCAAGATGCAAATGCACACGCAAGTAACCCCAGGGCAGGAACTCGCTAAAAGGGGTGAATTACTGGTTAGGAGGCCTCTACTCAAATACCAATTAGAATAATTGCTTTATAGTTCTTATTGATGACAGTAACTAACTAGCAGAATAAGTTTTATGTTTAAACCACTCCTAATTTCTGAAAAGAAACACATCTTGTAGTTGGGGGTATAGCTCAGTGGTACAGCACATGCTCATGTATGAGGCTGTCAGTTCAATTCAGCACACACACACACAAAAAAAAAAAACAGAAAGAAAGAAAATAGTATTATATAAAAAAGGAACATGTAAAAAAGAAGCAATCCTAAGCACATTGCTGATTTACCCACTAGCAATTATTTACTATGCCTGCAATCCTGATTTTTTTCCCCCCTTGGTACCAGGAATTGAACCCAAGGGCGCTTAACCTCTAAGCCACATCCCCAACCTTTTTTTTTTTGTATTTTATTTAGAAACAGGATCTCACTGAGTTGCTTAGAGCCTCACTAAGTTGCTGAGGTTGGCTTCGAACTGCCATCCTCCTGAGCTGCTGCGATTGTAGGCATGTACCACTTACCCAGCTTGCAATTCTGATTTTTGGGTATCATGATGAGGTTTATGTAGGTATCCGTATATCCAAGGCTCTTCACCAAACATATGCAACTTTGCCAATAACCAAATATCGGTGAGACACAAAGATCAAGTATTTAAAATGTTTTAAATGATTTATGACAGATTTTGCCACAAAATGGCCTATGTACACTAATGATCTAAAGTAGAAGAGCCTACCTGGTCTTCATGTAAAGCATTGGCCCATATAACTCAGGCAAGAAGTTGGCACACAATTTAGACAAGATATTTTAAAAATCAACCTGGTTGGTGAGTTGGGAGAATGTCATCTTTTTTGTGGGGAGATACTAGAGAGTGAACCCAGGGTCTCACACATGCTAGGCAAGAGCTGTACCACTGAACTGTATCCCCAGTCCTTTCTTGTTGTTGATGTTTGTTGTTTTGAGACAGATCTTTCTAGGTTGCCCAGGCTGGGTTTGAACTTCAGTTGCTCCTGCCTCAGCCTCCCAGATAGTTGGGATAATAATACACACCTCCAAGTCTGGCTCATTCACTTTTATGAGCTTTACATACATTGACTTAAAAAACATTAATCTAGGGGCTGGAGTTGTGGCTCATCGGTAGAGCACTCCCCTATTATGGGTGAGCCCCAGCACCACACAAAAATAAATAAATAAAGATATTGCGTCCAGGGGCTGGGGTTATGGCTCAGCAGTAGAGTGCTCGCCTCGCATGTGCAAGGCCCTGGGTTTGATCCTCAGCACCACATAAAATAAATAAATAAGTAAATAAATAAATAAATCATATATATATATATATATATATATATATATATATATATATATATGATATTGTGTCCCACTACAACTAAAAAATGAATACTAAAAAACACATTAATCTAGAATGTGTTTTGTCTACTTAATAAAATAAAATAAGATGATGCTTTAGCCAGGTGTGATGGTAAGCACCTGTAACCCCAGCTACTTGGTAGTCTGAGGCAGGAGGATCGAATGTTCAAAGTCAGCCTCTGCAACTTAGCAAGGCCCTAAGAAACTCTATGAGACCCTGTCCCGAAATAAAACACAAAAAAGAGCTGAGGATGTGGCTCAATGTTTAAATTGAGGGTTCAATCCCCTGTACTAAAAAAAAAAAAATTAAAAAATTTTTGAAAACAAAGAGTTGGGAATGTAGGTCAGAGGTGGGATACTCTTGTTTTTCACTTCCAGTACTACAAAAAATAAAGTAGAATATAAAAGGAGGCTGGGGATGGGGCATGTAGCTTGGTGGTAGAGTGCTTGTACAGCATGTGTAAAGCCCTATTTCAAACCCCAGTACTGAAGGAAAAAAAAAATTTAATGAATCTACAAGAATCAGAAATCCACAGCTACAATTCCTCAACAACCCTGGGACCAGAAAGCCTAGTTCAGAAGATTCACACAGCCTGAGATTTTTTTCTTTGGTATCGGGGATTGAATACAGGGGTGCTTAATCACTGAATCAGATCCCCAGCCCTTTTTATTTTTGATTTTGCGACAGGGTCTCAGTAAATTGCTTAGGGCCTTGCTAAGTTGCTGAGGCTGGACTGGAACTTATGATCCTCCTGCCCAAGCCTCCCGAGTTGCTGGGGTCACAGGTGTGCACACAGCCTGAGATCTTTTGAATCAATTAAACATACCATGTGTGCAGGGCTGATGTGTGTGTTGGGCAGGGTGAGCACATGGCTGAGGGGCTAGAAGGGCAGGCACTGGAATCCAGCTTCTACTCCACTTTTCAAGATTAACATGCCAGGGTTGGGTGGACCTCTAATAATGGGCAAAAAGTTCCCTGTGCCTCATGGGAAGCCAAGAACATTGTAGACCCTAGTCAGAGATAGTCTAGAATCTACACAATTCTCACTCTTGGCCTTGAGTTCCTGAGTTGGGAGAAGAGAATGTCCTCCTTCATTCACTCCAGAATTCGTCCTCATTGCCAGCTCTGGGAGCCCTGGGGATTCCTTAGATTTCTTTCTTCTTTCTTTCAGACAATGAGAAATTTATATTAAGCTTTAATTTTGACTTCTTTTTACTGACCTCATTATTAACCTGGTTAGATCACTTTGGCTACCCAGCAATTTTTGTCAAACTAAGACCAGAAAGATGAGACCTACATTTTTATAAACAGATGTATGTATCTATGGCCTCACAGTGACACAGGGACGGGCCCTGCTGTACATACCTACATCTATTATGCATCCCTCTGTATGCACAGACTCATGCAGAACATGGATTTACACACAGAAGCACAACACTCCTAAATCCTGTGCAGACCTGCATTCACCAGTGAGGAAAATGTAGATCCTGAAACATGCATTCTAGGTAGAAGGCAAATTGTCCAAGAGAAAAGCCTTTGTTAGCACAATGGTCAAGTCCTGGGTGGGGAGTGGTCCACACCTTCAGACGTGTCTCTCTTCCTCTGTGACCTGTCAGGACACCCCTTCCTCTGTAGGCTGCCCATGGGATGAAAAATAGAGGAAAATACCTTGATAGAGAACATGGGATCTTGCTGCGTTGCTCGCGACTAAAACACTCAGGGTCACTTCAGGGGGAACTGGGCTTCGTGAAATAACCACACATAAGACAGAAATACCTTTTTCTTTGGGGGTACTGTGACGGTTCCTCTGACCTTAAGGGTCTGAAGAAAGAGAGCCCACACGTGCTGACCCTTTTTATTGAGAAGACATTCAAATGAGGCAAAGGGTCAGGTTTCAAGGGGCTGAGTCAAGCTTCACAATGTCTGCTGTCAGCAGGTTGGCTGACATCTAGGAAGGCCACACCCAAGGGCAGAGTAAGAGAAGGGGACACACAAAGGGCGTTTCCATGGAACATTCTATCCCAAACAGGGCAAGGGGAACAGGTAAGCATAGCTTGACCCATGGAGCTGCAGGAAAGTGGGCCTACGCATGAAGACACATTTGGTGGCATTATTTCTACCCTCAAGATCGGGCTACCGTCTTCAGCAACTTAAGAGTAGCCAGATCATTGGGGGGATGACCCGCAGTGCCTCAACTGATCAGGAGGGAAAAACACTGGTCACAAGAGGTGACAGCCTCCCACCGGATCTGATTTGAGTTTGCTTCTAACAGGAACCCTTAGTGTGTTACTGGGAAAATCACCTAACCTCTTTGATCTCCCAACTTCCCCAGCTTTATTTTTCTTCTTATTAATTATTATTATCATTTCATCTCTTTAACTTGTTATTGTTGTTTTGAGGTAGTAGGAATTGAACTCAGGGCACTCAACCACTGAACTCTGTCACCCAGCCCTTTTTATCTATTTTTTTTATTTTATTTAATTAAAAAAATTTTTTTATAGTTGTAGATGGACAGAATGCCTTTATTTTATTGTTAATTTTTATATGGTGTTTAGGATCGAACCCAGTGCCTCATGCATGCTAGGCAAGCGCTTTGCCACTGAGCTACAGCCCCAGCCCTATTTTTTTAATTTGAGACAGGTTCTTGCTAAGTTGCTGAGGCTGGTCTTGAACTTACAATCCTCCTGCCTCAGCCTACTAAGTCACTGGGATTATAGGGGTGCACCAGGGCACCTGGAGCCTTACTCCCTCTCTTCTTTAAAACAAGATTGGCAAATTACATGAGTGCTTCCTAAACTCTTCCCTCCCAAGGACTATTGCCACTTCTTGTCCTACATTCCCCGACCCAATGGCTCTCTCATGGTTTAGAAGTTTTTGCCTACTAACAAGCTTCACTTAGCTACTAATTTTTTTGTTTTTTGTTTTCTAGTTTAAAAACTTTGTGTGTGTGTGTGTGTGTGTGTGTTTGCTGGAGATTGAACCCAGATCCTTGTCCATGCTCAGCATGTGTATAGTTCAAATTTTAAACAGAGATTTAACTAAGTATGCACTGAAAAGATAATAATACAATTAGTCAAGCCAAGAACTAATTTCCCTACAGACTCCTCTCTTCCTGGGGATGTGACCCAGGGTTTTACACATACTAAAAGGTGTTTGCCACTGAGCCCCACACTGTCCCCAGTCTTAAAGGATATTAGATACTTTCTGGTGGATCAAGATTCAGTCCAAGACATAGATCCTCCCTGCATGCTCTCTTGGACTCTCCCTGAGGCTCTGTGGCTTCTCTTCTCTCCCCACCTGACCTCAGCCTGGACCAGGTGGGATCTCCATCCTAGATTCCTTCTGCCCCTTCCACTAGCTTCTCCTCACTTCTATAACCCAGTTCATCCCCTCTTCTTTTTTTATTTTTTTATTTTTTTTAGTTGTACATGACACAATACTTTTATTTTATTTAATTACTTTTTTATGTGGTGCTAAGGATAGAATCCAGTGCCTCACACATGCAAGGCAACCACTCTATCACTGAGCTACAACCCCAGCCCTCATCTACCCCCTCTTTTTTTTCCACCCCCTCTTTTTAACCCCAAACTTTTTCCTGCCTCTTTCCAAAGTCTCCCAAACTGTCAAGCTAATAAAGGACATTACTTATCTAGGCCTGCAGCCCATCTGATACTGGTATTCTCTCCTAGCATAACCAACCTGTGCTTTTCTGAGGCGTGTTAAATCACAAACAACATGTCTAGTCTACCTTACTAGAGAGCTCAGCTCTTGGTATGTTCCAGGTTTCTATCAATCCTTTTTGGGGAGCTTTTACTGCTCATCACTTCCTGGTTACAATCAAATGAGCATCCTAAAAGCCACACAGTCACAATGAGTGAACTCTGACCTGGCAGGATTTCTCAAATGTCCTCCTGCCCTACTGACAGGAGTCCTTGGGGTAGGAAGAAGAGTGATTCTGCTACTTTTTTTTTTCTGAAAGTCTTTTGGTTTGACTTAATATTCCATGAGCATTTTGTGTTTTCCTGCACAAGAGGTCCTTATTGTTTAACTCATATGAATAAGATCAAGCAACATTCATGTTACAGGAAGATGTGCACGCCATGACTTCCGGTATCTGCAGGAGGCTCTGAGTATCTCAGTTGGAGAAACATGAGCCTGAAGCAAAAAGTCCCACTTTCCCACCTTCCAGAGCAGGGGCTGATGGGGCAGAATGGGACCTGGTAGAAGTCTTTCCAAAGTCTATACTAAAATGACAGTTATATAAGATGACAAGAAAGGGATGATGATCCCCACATGACAGAAGAGGAAAAGTCAGGCTTCAAAGAATGATTTCAGTAAAGTCACAGTGTCACAACCAGTTTTTGAACATAGGTCTTTCAGACTCCAGGGTCTGTCTTCTGTCTTGCTAACCAGAAACCTCCACGGCTCCCATCTCCGCTTCTACCTGGTATAGATCAGCCACTCTAGCTTTGCTCTACCTCAAAGAGGCTACGTGACTTTTGGCAGGCTTCCCTGGGCCTCACTTCGCTTATCTCAAATAAGAGGTTAAATCCAGGTCTGGTGGCTCTGGCCTGTAATCCCAGCTCCTTGGGAGGCTGAGGCAGGAGGGTTGCTTGAGCCCAGGGGTTAGACTCTCTCTCCAATAAATGAATAAATAAATAAACTCAGAGGCTAATCTGATAGTTTCTAAGACCTTTACAGGTGGGAGAATCTGTGCACTGATCTTCTGCATATTAGTTGACATTTATTAATAATAACTAGCTCTCAGTGCTGAGTGGCTTTCAGGCAAATAAAGCACCCTTCATCAAAGGGGTGGAAGAGGCAGTAGGACTCATGCATAAATCAGTAATCATGGAACTCAGTGCCTGAGCACTGAGTAGAATGATGCACTGAGACCGTGGTCTGAGTAGAATGATCCAGGGGCCTGGGGGGATAGGAGAACAAAGAACAATGGAAGGGCTCCACAGAGTAGGTGACTTTTGAGTTGAACCTTGGAGGTGAAGTTCAAGTTCAGCAGGTAGACAGGCTGTGTGTGTGTGTGTGTGTGTGTGTGTGTAGCTAAACAGATTGAGAAGGTGGAGTTGTTCTTGATATTAAACGGTCTTGAATGCAAGGTAAATTATACTTTATCGGAGGACTAGTGTTTTCCAAGCAGTTCTGAGGAGCAGTCCCTGGGGAAGGATGTTTTCCATCCAGTCATCTTCAGAGGGAGGCTCCCACTCTGACTTGGGCAGACAGCTCTTCTTTTACCTGCTGTGTCTATGTAGTTCTGCTTGATTTCATCTGACAAAAAGTTTCCGCTGCTAAAACAGGCAAACAAACAAAAAAGTTCTGGCCAACAAGGCCGCTGAAGGGTTCTCTGCTGGTGAGAAGAAAAACCCTATTAGAAGGAACCCTCTGAAGGAGATTGTGTGGGTGTGGGTATGGGGGAGGGCAGAGGCCTGAGGGTGACTTTTGGAAGCCAAGTTCTCTCACCAGCTTCCTTAGTTGGGAGGAAAATTGTGATTAGGAGAGGGGCATCATCTTCTCTGACAGAGGAGAATCTGATCAAAAACTTAGGTCTCCCTCAAGGCTTGGTAAAGTGTGTGACCTCTGGGAGGTAGTCCTCCAACTTGGAGACTGGCAGAGGGTGGGGAGGCAGGAAGTGGGTAACTAGACTGACAAAGGTGCTTGTGGCGGTTTGCCCATCCCAGGTGGGGGGCGGAGCACAGGCGAGGCATAGGCCTGGTGTCAATGTACTTGTGGCCTGAGGGCTCTGAGGGGACACCAGTCAGGAACCCTCATTTCAGCTCTTCTGTGGCTGGTGAATGGGGGTCCGGCGGCCGTCGACTGTCTCAGGTACTTTCGGAAACTCCCAGGGCAACACCCTAAGACGCCTGATGTCCGGGGGGAACAGATCTAGGGGGAACTCCTTCAGCCCCCTCTCCATTTCCTCAGGGACCATGGGCTGTACCTGCAGCTCAAACCCTGAAGATGACTGGATGGAAAACATCGATGTGTGTGAGAACTGCCATTATCCCATAGTCCCTCTGGATGGCAAGGGCACGGTAAGGGGCAAGATGGGGGTTGGTGAGGGAGCCAGGTGGGTGTGCAGCCCAGGAGAAGGAAAGAGCTCACTACTAGAGGCCCTTGAAATAACACAGCAGATCCTGGAATACAGAAGGAAAAAGAGGCCCAGAGATGGGAAGGGACCCTCCTGAGGTCACATAGTAAATACATAGTGGGCAAATTCAGAGATAAGAAATCAGGTGGGAGAAATGGAGGAGAGTAGGCAGAAAGGAGGGGAGCCAGGATCTGATCCTGTCATCTTTCTCTTACCCACCCTCATTTCCCATCCCACAGTTGCTCATGAGGAATGGCTCTGAAGTACGGGACCCACTTGTCACCTATGAGGGCTCCAACCCACCAGCCTCTCCACTGCAAGGTGACCCCAACCAGCAGAGCCGGGAAAATAAAGTCTGTGGATCCTTGGCTGTTGGCCTTCTCCTCCCTTCTACGTCATACTCTGTCCTTTCTTGGTCCAAGTCTTGTTCCAGCTGTGACTCCAGAACTCTATTCTCCTGACGCCCCCTGTCTTTACAGATAACCTGGTTATCGCCCTGCACAGCTATGAGCCCTCTCACGACGGAGACCTGGGCTTCGAGAAGGGTGAACAGCTCCGTATCCTGGAACAGTGAGTGCCCCTCCACCCACCCACCCTGCACTGTGGATTCTGTGAGAAAGCGTTGTCCCGGGTACTGCATCCCTCCTGGGGTCCTTGACTGGCTCGAAGTGGGTTCCTTTGGGACAAAATGCGAGGCTCCAGAATGCTGATCCAGGGGTCGCGGTGGCCTGAGTTACTGGGGACCCTGATCGAGGGTCTCCAGCTGACTGCCCCTGTGGCGCAGGAGCGGCGAGTGGTGGAAGGCGCAGTCCCTCACCACAGGCCTGGAAGGTTTCATCCCTTTCAACTTCGTGGCCAAAGCGAACAGTCTGGAACCCGAACCGTGAGTGGGGACCTGGTGGGTGTGGGTGGGAACGGATCTAGGGATCTCGGAACGGGGAGTGGTCCTGGGGGTGGTGGCGAATGGTTGAGGATGATGGAGTTAAAAAGGACCAACAGCCAACGGCCTTCGCTTGCTTCTTCCGTGCGCAGCTGGTTCTTCAAGAACCTAAGCCGCAAGGACGCTGAGCGGCAGCTCCTGGCGCCCGGGAACACGCACGGTTCCTTCCTGATCCGAGAAAGCGAGAGCACAGCTGGTGAGCCACTGGGCGGGGCCTGAGGGCGGGGCCTCGGAGGAGTGGGCGGGGCCGCGGGCGAGTAGGTGCCGGAGGAGCTGGGTTTGAGCCCTAGACCAGGGCTGCAATGACCGCGCGGCTAGCAGGAGGCCACCCCTTCTCCTTTGCGTTTTTTTTTTGGTTTGTTCATTCATTCAGGATCATTTTCACTGTCGGTCCGGGACTTCGACCAGAATCAGGGAGAGGTGGTGAAACATTACAAGATCCGTAACCTAGACAACGGCGGGTTCTACATCTCCCCTCGCATCACTTTTCCCGGATTGCATGAACTGGTCCGCCATTACACCAGTGAGCCCCAGCAGGACCCCTCACCTGTGCCCTATCAGCTTGTCTCCCCCTAGTCCTTCTCAGGGGTACCCTTCAACCATCTTTCAGGGTACTCCTTCATTACCAAGTGGGTGAGATGTGGTACCTGACCCTACAGCCCAGATGTAGGGTGATCGACCTTCACCCCGCTTCATTACATTCCTCTAGAAGGGAACTTGGAGAGCTGGGGGTTGGGGAAAGCACCCAAGGCCTCACATATTGACAACCCCCTCCCTCTCCCTTGCCCTTGCCCTTGCAGATACTTCTGATGGGCTGTGCACTAGGTTGAGCCGCCCCTGCCAGACCCAGAAGCCCCAGAAGCCGTGGTGGGAGGACGAGTGGGAGGTTCCCAGGGAGACGCTGAAGCTGGTGGAGCGACTGGGGGCCGGCCAGTTCGGGGAGGTGTGGATGGGTGAGTACGGGCTTCCAAGACTGCTGGGAAAGAGGGGAGAGGGAGGCGTCCACTTTCAGGGCAGTTGCTTGGCTCTGGGAGCAGGAGTTCCACAACTCCTTCACTCCCTCCTGTTCCCTATCCAGGGTACTACAACGGGCACACGAAGGTGGCAGTGAAGAGCCTGAAGCAAGGCAGCATGTCCCCTGACGCCTTCCTCGCTGAGGCCAACCTCATGAAGCAGCTGCAGCACCCGCGGCTGGTCCGGCTCTACGCGGTGGTCACCCAGGAGCCAATCTACATCATCACCGAATACATGGAGAATGGTGGGTGCTACAGCCATACCTGGACGCTGGAGGACACTGCTGTCTCCCACCCCTTCCTACCTCTACTCTACCCCTATTCTACTGGAGTGGGGCGGGGGCATACCCCTTTTGCTCCGGCCAAACACTGAGGGTTTTCCTGGGCATCTAAAGACCCACCTACAGGGGTGAGAAGAAGCTGTGTCATCTGAGTCTGTCTACGACCCAGCCTGAGGTGGCAGCCTTTGGAAGAATGTTCATCCCCATCTTTCCTGACCTGCAGTCAGTCCCTTTTGCATTTTTTTCAGTCAAAGCATCTCAGGATGCTTGACCTCAGAAAATGAGTAGGTCCCTAGTTCTGTTTCTCTCCTTTCTTCCCTGGAAACTTGGGAGGATGGATTTGCTCCAAAGCCTCCTTTTCAGTTCTGGGTGAGCCCGACGCCTCTCTGGGACTGCTGTTGGACAGAGTGAGAATCCTATGAAGAGGGATATGAGTTTCTAGGCTCAGCTTTGAAGCCACTGATTTGCCATGTGTGGTATAGGCCAACTCCCTGTACTGTCCGTGGTATTCAGCTCCCCTAAGTCCAACAGCAAAAATCTAAAAAAGCTCATCCAAAAATATATGCAATGTCCATTAAGGACCTAGAGTCTGACTGCCTGGATTAGTCTTGGCTTCATGATTATGTAGCTTTGGGCAGATCACATCACTTATTTCTGCCATGGTTCTCATCTGTAAAATAGTGGTACTAATGCAATAAGCACTCACTCATGAGGTCTTTGTGAGGATAAGAGTTAGAACAATCTCTGCCATAAATTTGTTGCTGTTATCTGGCTCTGATTGTTTGGGAGTACAAGACATGTCTCTCTTTCAGGGAGAGAAATAAACTATTAATTAGCTACTGGGGGGGGTGGGGTTGTGGCTCAACGGTAGAGTGCTCACCTAGCACATTTGAGGTCCTGAGTTCGATCCTCAGTACCATATAAGAAAAAAAATAAAGTATAAAAAATTATTTAAAAAAAAATAAAATAATTAGCTACTGGGTTCTGGAAGTGGCAAAGAGGTTTTGTCTTGAGTAATAACTTTTATAGTTGCTTAGAGTGCTGAGTTGAGAAGGATTCTGAGGCTCATTGGAAATGAACATTGGAATTGATGCATCTGCCCCTAATACTTGAATGGCAGCACATGGCCACATATTTACTGTGTCTGAGTGAGGTTTTTATCTTTGCTGAATAATTCAGCACTTATAGTGGGGACAGGTTGTTGTCATTCTCACATGGTTTTTTTTTTTTTTTTTTAATGGTGCTGGGGATTGAACCCAGGGCCTTGTGCATGCAAGGCAAGTACTCTACCAAATGAGCTATATCACCAGCCCTTCACATGGGGTTTTAATCTCTTGGATAGGGCAAGTGGTCACTAACTCTTCCCAACAACTCACATCCATGGTGTCCTCCCAGATGCCCTCTACTACCAGAGAGGTGGTCCCTCAGGCCTCCAGGGACCATTTTCCCTACTTCTCATTCAATACATTCAGCACTGGGCACTGAAAACATTGATGCTTGGACATGGATGAATCAAACAAGATTTCTACTGTAAGGGAAACTTGATTTTAACTTTGGGCAATGGGAAAACCAAAGTTTATGCCATGGGGGAAGTTCCAGCATGCCAGAGGAATGTAGATGATGATGTAACTTATTAAACCTGGTAGGATCTAGAAAGGCTTCCTAGAAGAATAATCTAGTGGACTGCGAAACAAGAGTAGAATTTTTTTAGCAGGCAGAGATAAAACAAAGAAAGGTTGAGATGAGAATCTAGTGGTCTGTGTGAAGAATCTGAAAATTGTCCATAGTGGGGGCAGTGAGAGAAGTGGCGTGGGCAGAGCAACCACAAAGTGGAGCAGGCAGGGTTTTGGATGCCCAGCTGAGTTGTCGGGGCCTACTTTATTCTGACAAGGAGCTTACAGACCCCTCCAACCATACCCTATACTCTGAGCATACTCACCTTGAACTCCTCCATTCTCCTAATTCTTCCTTTCCACGTGTCAGACACTGCCTCTAGACTCCAGTTAGGAGAGGAGAGTCTGGGACCCTTTCGGGCAATTTGGTCAGCAACTCTTGCTTCTGCCCACAGGGAGCCTGGTGGATTTTCTCAAGACCTCCTCGGGCATCAAATTGACCATCAACAAACTCTTGGACATGGCAGCCCAAGTAAGGAGATTGGGGAGCAGTTTGGCATGGGTACAGACCCGTGGGGTGAGGATATCCAGCCCAGGGCTGATGACCTGTACCTGGCCAACAGATTGCAGAGGGCATGGCATTCATTGAAGAGCGGAATTACATCCACCGTGACCTGCGAGCTGCAAACATCCTGGTGTCTGACACCCTGAGCTGCAAGATTGCAGACTTTGGCCTAGCACGGCTCATTGAGGACAATGAGTACACAGCCAGGGAGGGTAGGTGTGGGACATGAGGGAGTTCTGGGGTCTGCAGGGTCTGGCCAGGCAGACACGGGTGACCTCACTCTTTCCCCACCTCCCTACAGGGGCCAAATTTCCCATTAAGTGGACAGCACCAGAGGCCATCAACTACGGGACATTCACCATCAAGTCAGATGTGTGGTCTTTCGGGATTCTATTGACGGAAATTGTTACCCATGGCCGTATCCCTTACCCAGGTCAGTGCCAAGGGTAGGAACCACAGGGTTATAGGGAAGGGCAGAAAATCTTTGTCTTCTTACTCACTGCTTTCCAGGTTCAGAATTTGAAACTTTTGGCTGCTTATCCTGTATCCTCTGAGGAGTGTGACTCCAACGATCCTAAGCAGATCCCAGCACTGGCTTTCATCACTGTCTCTGGATCTTGTTCTTCTTTTCCAGATCCTTTCTTTAATTCTGGCATGGGCAGCCTAGTATGGTAGAAGTGGATCTAGCCTGGGAGTCAAAAGATCTTTTTTTTTTTTTTTTTAAACCAGATTGGTCATTGATTCTAACTTTCTGTTTGGCTTTGATCAGATCATTCTATTTTTTCTTTCTTTTTTTTTTTAATATTTATTTTTTTGACAGACACAACATCTTTGTTTGTATGTGGTGCTGAGGATCGAACCCGGGCCGCACACATGCCAGGCGCGCGCGCTACCGCTTGAGCCACATCCCCAGCCCCCATTCTATCTTTTCATATCTATTAAATATAAGATCAAAATAGGCTGGGCTCTGTGACAAGGGAGGCTGAGGCAGGAGGATTGCAAATTCCAGGACAGCTTCAGTAACCCAGGAAGACCCTCTCTCAAAATAATAAAAAGTAAAAAGGGTGGGGGAAGTAGCTCGGTAGTAAAGCCAAAGCCACCCCTGAGTTCAATCCTCTACATATACCTACAAAAAAAAAAAAAAGAAGAAGAAGAAGAAAAGAAAGAAACAAAGAAAGAAAGGAAAGAAAAGAAAAAAAAAGTTAAAAATACTGCTTAGCTCATACTAAGATATTATTAATCATTACTTTGGGCAAGTAACGTCATTTCTCTCAGCCTCAATTTCCTGATATTAGAAAAAAGAGATTCTGTGAAAGAGCCTGACTCATAGTAGGTGCTCACTAAATACTGGTTTCTCTTCCCTCTGAAGCTTTTCATCTAAAGAGGGAGAAACAGATACTACCCCCACATCCTCCATGTCTAGAACAACATTCTTAACCCTAAATTCATCCAAGACAGGGGTGGAATTTTTTTTTTTATTGGTACCAGAGATTGAACCCATGGGTGCTTAAAAACTGAGCCATATCTCCAGCCATTTAAAAAAAAAATTAATTTAGAGACAGGGTCTCACTAAATTACTTAGGGCTTGTCAAGTTGATGAGGCTGGTTTTGGACTTGTGATCCTCCTGCCTCAACCTCCTGAGCCACTGAGATTACAGGGTGCATCATCACGCTTGGCCCCAGTGGTATAATTTGTTTTTTTTTTTTTTTGAAAGGAACTCACTAAGAAACTCTAGGGAAAGGAAATGGAAAAGGAAATTGGGAGCAGGGAGGTTATGGAACATAGTGGCTGGATTTGCAGAGGCTTCCCACATTCCCAGTAAAATGTGAAAAGAACTTTACTCCTAGGAAGGTAAAGGCACCCTGTGTTCAGATGAGAGGTGGGCTCCCTGCCCTGGGCTTTACCCTCACACAGTCCAGGGCCATTGCTGGACCTAGACCACACTCCAGGTGTTCTGCCTACAGTCCTTCCCATCCTCCACTGTGCCTATGGAGGCAAACCCATAGAGAATGTCTCCATTAGAAGAAAAGGTAGTGAAAGTAGGATGACAGGTCTTGGGGATATAGACAGTGGCAGAGCACTTGCCTAGCAAGCTGAAGGCCCTGGGTCTAATCCCCAGCACCACAGAAAAGAAAATGATGATGAACAGGAACTGACAGGTGGCATTAAGGTCAGAGAGACAATGGGAAGCAACAGGGACCTTGGTGAATTTGCATCTGCTCCAGTGGAAGGAGGTTTTTTTTTTTTTGTTGTTGTTGTTGTTTGTTTGTTTGTTTTAACAGTGCTGGGGATGGAACCCAAGGACATTCTATTACTGAGTCACATCTCCAGCTCATTTTATTTTCTATTTTGAGACAGGGTCTTGCTAAATTGCCCAAGTTGCTCTCAAACTTAGATTTCTCCTGCTTCAGCTTCCCAAGTGGCTGGGATTTCAGGCACGGGCAACTGAGCCTGGAAATCTTTTTTTTTTTTTTTTTCAAGAGAAGCTCAAACTTGGAGTTTTAGGAAAACCTGCTTATTTCCAAATATAGGTGATTGATTCAAATTGTTTAAAACACCATATGGAACAAACCAAAGTGGGCCTGTGAGCTATATTTAGGCTGGCTTTTGTCTGTGGGTTGGCACCCTCCACTCTTCATGGGTGTTTGGTTCCCTGGTTTACATTTTCCTGTGTCCTGATTTTAAAATGTGAGGGACCTGTAAAAGGTAAAGGCCTCCCAGAGCAAGATGTGGGCAAAACTTTTTTTCACTCTTGACCAGGCCCAAACTCTGCAGGAGCAAAACTTTTATTTTGCCAAGCATTCACAGTGCATGCCTATAGTTTATTCTACTCAGGCGGCTGAAGCAGGAGGATTGCTTGGGTCAGTCTGGGTAACATAGCGAGACCCCCGTCTCAAAAACAAAAACAAAACTTCTATTTTTCTAGAAGGGTTTGGTCTTTGGGGATTAATTGTCTTCTCTCAAGAGACTGAAGAAGAAAACAGAGGCTGCGTGGGTATTGTAGAAATAGGGAGCTGTGGGTCTGGGGATATAGCTCAGTTGGTAGAGTGCTTGCCTCGCATGCACAAGGCCCTGGGTTCAATCCCCAGCACCACAAATTAGCTGTGAGCATGCAGGTCTCCAGAGCACCTCCTCTTGAGAAAAGGTACATGCCAGAAGCTGCCATGGGGGCCAGAAGCTACCATGGGGACCAGGAGCAGCACAAAAGAAGGTTACCAGCCCAATGACTATTTCATATGGGTCATGGAGAGGCCTGGTGAGCCTTCTCAGTGAGGGGCAGAGTCTGTTTTGCTGGAGTCTGGGGGTCCATCTGCTCTCCTCATGTGCCTTGTCCCAAAGCTAGAGATGCCTCCTCCTGCCCTGGGTCCAGACCACCATATCATTCTCACCAAATCATAACAACCTCAGGTGCCCTTTACGAAGCCTCTCCTGTTCAAGCACTAAACCTGGTGCTTTATATGCACTAACTCACTAAGTCCCCTTAAGAACTCTGTGAGGTAGGAACAACTATTTACTTCATTTTCCAGGTGAGGAAACTGAGGTTCAAAGAGGTGGCTTACTCAAGGTCCCACAGCTAACAAGTGTGTCACTGAGTGTGTAATCTGTAACAGGAACTCCCAGTGGTCTCACTGATATTTAGCAGGTACCATTAGTGTGGCCTACCACTGATGAAAACCTTTTGGATTGGTACTCACACCACACCATTTAAATATTCTGAACATCGCCTGTATTTGTCAGTTTTCTGTTACTGTAAGGAAATACTTCATGGAGGTCAGGAAGCAAAGAGGAAAAGGAGGGGTCGGGGTCCAATACTCCATCAAAGGCAGGCTTCCAATGATCTCACTTCCTCGCTAGGCCCCACCTCCTAAAAGTTCAACCACCTCCCATAAGTGTCACAGGCTGAGGACCAAGCCTTCAACACATGGATCTTTGGGGAATATTTAAGATCCTAACTCTAGCATCAGCCCTGCCTGTGGGCTTTCAAAGCCTGGAGGTTTGATGTCCTTGTTTCCTATTGATCTCCAGGGATGACCAATCCTGAGGTGATTCAGAATCTGGAACGAGGCTATCGCATGGTTAGGCCTGACAACTGTCCAGAGGAGTTGTACCACCTCATGATGCTGTGCTGGAAGGAGCATCCAGAGGACCGACCCACCTTTGACTACCTACGCAGTGTACTGGAGGACTTCTTCACGGCCACAGAGGGCCAGTACCAGCCCCAACCTTGATATTGATAGGCCTACCTGGCTTGAGGCTTTTCCCCATCTGGCCACGCTGGCTTGGGAAGTTGGGGTTCTTGTGCCACGTTCACATGACCTATGCACTTATGGACTTTATACATGAATCTCACCCACATGTGACACATGTGTATTGTGTGTCATATGCATATCCCATAGTTGTGTGGGTTCTACATATGTCTTGTACATGTATAATCTGTGCACATATGTTTTGGAGACGATGATCTAAAGGTCTCTTTCTAGACACTCCCATTTTCTGAGACCACAGAGGGGGAAAAGAAGCTTATGATTGACACCTGCTTCTGTCTACCTCTTTTCTTTCTCTGGTCCAGAAGTTCCTTGCAGCCTGGGACCTTATCTGATACCTTTTGTACTCCTCCTCAGGGCCTGGCACACATCAGGAGCTCAATAAATCTCAGTTGATGAAGGTTGTATATCTCTCTGCTGTGCACCACCTTCTTTCCTTGTGGGGAGATACTAGGGATTTGGAAGATGGAAACTAGGTCACCCTGAGTTGGATTAAGAGATGGGATGAGTAGCCGGGTGTGGTGGCACATGCCTGTAGTCCCAGAGGCTTGGGAGGTTGAGTCAGGAGGATTGCAAGTTCAAACCCAGCCTCAGAAAGTCATCAAGGTCCTAAGTGACTCAGTGAGACTCTGTCTCTAAATAAAATACGAAAATGGGATGGGGATGTGGTTCAGTGGTTAAGTGCCCCTGAGTTCCATCCCTAATACCAAAGAGAGAGAGAAAAAGAGAGAGAGAGAGGTATGGGATGAGTGGATATTTGAACTTTTTCAGCCCTGGTGATGCTGGGGGCCAAGGGAGGGCCCTACAACTGTGCTATATGGGCCTCTACAAACCTCTTCAAATGGGACAGCGTTCCTCACCCTCTTCCCAAAGGAGGAGAACCTCCTAGGGACTGGGCATGCCATATGACCTTCCTCTGCTTTATATTAAGAGCAATAGCATTTTTTTCTTATAGCTACTTATTTAAAAGTTATTTCACCTTCAGGATCTGTGTATGTGTGTGTGTGTGTGTGTGCGCGCGCGCATTATCGGGATTGTGGAACTGAACTCAGTGCTCCACACATACTTTTTAAAAATATTTTTTATTAGTTGTAGTTGGACACAAAACCTTTATTTTGTTGATTTATACGTGGTGCTGAGGATTGAACACAGGGTCCCGCACGTGCTAGGCAAGCACTCTACCACTGAGACACAACCCCAGCCCAGGGCTCCACACATTCTAGCAAGTACTTTGCCACTGAGCTACATCCCCAGCCCTTTTGTAAACTTCATTTTGAGATAGTGTCTCACTGAGTTGCCCAGGCTGGACTTTGACTTGTGATTCTCCTGTCTCAGCCTCCAGTGTTACTGGGATTACAGGTGACTGACACCGTTTCCAGCAAAGGGTGTTTTAAAATATTGATTTTTTAATTCACTCATTTAACAAATATTTATTGGACCTCTACTGTGTGCCAGGCACTGTTTGAGGCTCATAGGCTATGCAGTAGGCAATACACACACAAACCTCTATTTCATGACATTTACATTCTAGCAAGGGAAAACATGCAATAAACATCACAAAGAAGTAAAATTATATAGAATGTTGTAGATGATGAGTGCTAAGGCAAAATGAGGGCAGGGTAAGGGGAGTTAGGAATGCTATATTTTGGGGAGGTTTGCAATGTTAAAGGTTGTCAGGAAAGGCCTCACTGAGAAGGCAACTTTTTTTATTGTTGTTTTTTGGGTGCTAGGGATCAAACCCACGCCCTTGCACATGCTAGGCAAATGCTCTACTACTGTCACCCTAGTGGAAGAAAGTGACTTAAGCAAAGCTTTGAAGGTGAAGAAAGAACCACATAAAATGAAGGTGAGGTAAGAGCTTAGCTGGCTCTGGGAGGTAATGCTAGCCTGAGAGGGAGTAGATCCGATGGGGCTGGGGACCTGTGTCCCTTGCAGAAATTATTTTGAGGAGACTTAACAGGGATTTTTGTGAATCCCTGACATGATCGTTTTATTTTTATTTTTTCTACATGGGGGACTGAAGCCAAGGGTGCTCTACCACTGAGCAACATCCACAGCCCTTTTTATTCTTTATTTTGAGACAGGGTCCTGGGTTTTTTTTGTTTGTTTTTTTTTTTTTTTGGTACCAGAGATTGAACTCAGGAACACTTTACCACTGAGCCACATCCCAGCCCTACTTCCAGCCCTACTTTGTATTTTATTCAGAGACAGAGTCTCACTGAGTTACTTAGTGCCTGGCTTTTGCTGAGACTGGCTTTGAACACTTACCCTCTGGAGTAGCTGCACCATTATGCTTGGTTCTTGATTTACATTTTTTTTAATATTTATTTTTCAGTTTTCAGTGGACACAACATCTTTATTTTATTTTATGTGGTGCTGAGGATCGAACCCAGCGCCCCATGCATGCCAGGTGAGTGCATTACCGCTTGAGCCACATCCCCAGCCAGATTTACATTTAAAAACAATTTTTTTTTTTAGTTGTAGATGGACACAATACCTTTGTTTATTGGACACAATACCTTTGTTTATTTTGTTTATTTTAAATACCTTTGTTAGTAATGAAAATTGAACCCAAGGGTACTTTATGACTGAGCTACATCCCCAGCCCTTTTTATTTTTATTTTATTCATTTATTTTGTGGTACTGGGGATTGAACCCAGCGCCTTGTGCATGTAAGGCAAGCACTCTACCAACTGAGCTACATCAACTTATTGAGACAGGGTCTCAATAAGTTGCTGATGGCCTTGCTAATTTGCTGAGGCTGGCTTTGAACTTGTGATCCTCCTGCCTCAGCCTCCCAGTTCCTGGGATTACAGGTAGTTGCTACCACCACATGCCCAGCTTGACTTACATTTTAAAAGAAAGTCTCTTGGGAATAGGGCTGTAGCTTAGTGGTAGTAGGCTTATCTGGCATGCAGGAAGCCCTGGGCTCAATCCCCTGCACCAACCAACCAACAAATGAAAAGATCCCCTAAAAAAATAAATAAATAAAAATAAAAGGATGGTGCTTACTGCTATCTTAAAGAAAGACTGGGGGTGCTGGGGATGTGGCTCAAGCGGTAGCGCGCTCGCCTGGCATGCATGCGGCCCGCCCAGGTTGGATCCTCAGTACCACATACAAACAAAGATGTTGTGTCCGCCAAAAAACCTAAAAAAATAAATAAATATTAAAAAGTTCTCTCTCTCTTAAAAAAAAAAAAGAAAGAAAGAAAGACTGGGTTAACCAATTTATACAACTAGGGAGATATTTGTATAAAAGTGTAGATTCTGCCTTCTCTTGAAAAATGGAAGACTTGGCTACACTGGACTTACTGGTCCTCATGGGGTGGAGTAGTGGCCATCCCCATTCAGGTGAGTCATGGACTCTCCCTTTGACAAAGCCTCATTCAAATAGTGAAACAGAGTGTTAGTAACTTGTTAGAGTCTGTAAACAAGTCAAAATAACACCTGGCATTTTGCCAGGGGAATGTTAGAGTTGGAAAACAAGTCTGGATGGTGCCTGGCAAAATGCCAGAGGGAGTGGTTTGAGAAATAACAAAAGTGAGCCATTAAGTGTGGAGATTCCTGATTGGTTGACTGCTGTATCTAGTTTATGTTAATTAGATAAGCTGTGTGGAATGTATAAATACCGCTCCTGTCCTACAATAAATGGCTCCCTCTCCTGCTGTATCAACGTACACAAGTTGTTCGTCACCCCCCCCCCCCCCCCCCCCCCCCGCTTATTTTGCTGCAGCTGGACTGCGGCAGTAACTATTTCTCATCAATCTTGCACTGTTATTCTTACAATAAGGGAGAAAATGAACTGGTTTTTTGGCAGCTGCAAACATGGGCTGGGATTGTGGCTCAGTGGCAGAGTGTTTGCCCCGCACATGTGAGGCGCTGGGTTCAATCATCAGCACCACATAAAAATAAATAAACAAAATAAAGATATTGTATCCATCTATAACTAAAAAAATTATATATATATATATATATATATTTTAAAAGATATCTGAACATGGCAGTGTGTTTGATGAAAGATGGGAAGATAGAAGAAAAAGTAATATTTCTCTCTCTTCTTTTTACTATGTGTATGTGTGTGTGTGTGTGTGTGTGTGAGACAAAGGATTGAACCTCTCTGCTTGACCACTGAGCTACATGCCCAGCTTTTAAATTTTTTTATTTTGAGACAGAGTCTTGCTAAGTTGCCCATGCTGACCTCAAATTTGTGATCCTCTTGTCTTGGTCTCCTAAATCACTGGGATTACAGGAATGCACCACCATATTTGGCTGCATGAAAGTGAAAAATCCAATTTTTAAAATATGCAAAGAACGTGAGTCATAATAACATAAACTCCTTCACTTATATCACCTGCTTGACCGCTGTAGGCATCTGAGGTTATGATATGCCTTCTGTGTTTTATAAAGTGCTGCCACACCCATGAGCTCAAAGGATTCCTCTTTTGGATACTGAATACAGCCATAGAGTCCTTGAACTTTGTTTTCTTCTCCTCCCAGTTTTGCAGAGAGGGAAATGAAGGCCTAGAAAGGTTAAGTAAAGCCATTCGAGGCCAGCTGGGAAGCGGTGACAGAATGGGAAACAGGGTTTATTTCAGGCCAATTGCTATGTCTATGAAAAAAAACCAATGGGTTGGGGCTGGGGATGTGGCTCAAGCGGTAGCGCGCTCGCCTGGCATGCGTACGGCCCGGGTTCGATCCTCAGCACCACATACAAACAAAGATGTTGTGTCCGCTAAAAAATAAATATTAAAAGATTCTCTCTCTAAAAAAAAAAAAAAAAAAACCAATGGGTCTTAGATTTTCTGTTACCTTATAACTAAAGGCCCACATGCAGTTCCCAGCACAAGTCCCCTCAAGCACTATTTAAAGAGGCAAAAGTCAGGTGTGGAGGTATACTTCTATAATGCCCACTACTCTGGAGGCTGAAGCAGGAGGATTGCAAGTTCAAGGCCATCCTGGGCAATTTAGTGAGACACTCTCAAAAAAAAAAATAAATAAATCTGGAGATGGAGGTCACTGGTAGAGGACCCTAAGTTTCAATCCCCAGGACTGCAAAAAAAAAAAAAAAAAAAGTAAAAATAAAAATACATAAAGAGGGGCTGGGGCTGTAGCTCAGTGGCAGAGTGCTTGCCTAGCATATGTGAGGCACTGGGTTTGATCCTTGGCATGGTATAGAAATAAACAAAATAATAAAAATGTGCTGTGCATCTGCAACTACAAAAACAAATTAAAAATAAATAAATAAAGAGGCATAAATATCTATCTTATTAGAGCAGAACCATAAATAAGTAACTTAGTACAATGTTTAGCACATATTAAGGCTATGGTAGCTGTTAATTTAATAGCTATGCACAGTGCTTTTTGGTCTTTCAGTTTTCAGTAGTGAGCTGTTAATGACTAGATCAAT